TGGTATTTCATTCTGTTTAAAAACTAAACAGTTGACTGTTAAAATTTTTCATGGTACCACCACATGCTCTTCATTTTAATACTTTCAGGGCAACCTTCAATTCAAAAAAACCTTTCATAACAATATTGTTTTTGAGTGAAAAACTTTTAGGATAAATTTACACCTCTAACCTAAAATATATATATTATTATAGATGGCAATAACGATTGAACAAAATCTAAATCTTGGCTGAAAACATAACAGAGCAAATCTAAATCCAAAACTCAAAAAGAAAGCCTTTCTGAATTTTTAGTCATGAAAGGGTGAAGTTTTATATTTTCATAACTATAAAACTGCACCATTTCATGGTTGCAAATTTTATGTTCATAAAAATATAAAATTATCATATAAAAATATATAAAATTGCATACTTCATAGTTTATGAGCACAAGATACCGAACTGTTAGTTAACAAAAATTGGGGGCGGAAAAAAAAAAACAAATGGAGAGAAGAGTCCGTTAGGTTGGCGGCATTATCGCAGAAGAGGCACATGTGTAAATATGTCCCATCACTCACTCCGCTTCTCACCTTCGTCTTTAAGTACTCTCAGATTCCTCTAGATTCAATACATCACGCAGAAGCAGAGAAAGGATAGCGAAAACGAGATTAAAAAGATGTTGGGAACAGAGGTTCAAATGACGAAGAGACACAATCCAGGAGGCCTCTTATGCCAGAGGTCACTAATGGTGGAGAGGAAGGACAAGAACACACAAAACTGACACCGTCCATGGCTGGGGTAGCAAAATCCTGGACTTGAAGGAGGCCAAGGATCAAATCGTTTTTGTATTACCTCTGATTCTCACTAACTTGTCCTATTTCTTAGTCATTTTGATTGCTGTCATGTTCGCTGGCCAGCTTGGTGTCCTTCAACTTGCTGGTGCTACTCTGGGTAACTCATGGTCACACCGTCACCGGCTTCGCCGTTATGGTAAGAGTCTTTTCCGTTTTTGTATGCTTATTTTCCCACATTAGATATTCTTCAAACTGGAAGTTACACCTGCAATGCGATTATAAATCCTCAACATTTATTAAGAGAAGTTGATACGTGTGTTGACTAGTTGGTAAGCAAGTAAGACCCCTGAAAAATAGAGTTCACAGTGCTTTCAAGAATCGAAACGTGTGGGTGAAGAGGCTATAAAATGGGGAAGAGATATTGCTGAAAAAGGCAATGGACCATCGGATTGGCTTCTTGAAATATGATGGCGAAATTAAACTGATATGCCATGCACTTATACAGTGATACAAAATGGAGATGAAAGTATGGCTTACTTTACAAATTTTTAGAGCTAGGCCATCAAGCATTATATAGTTGAGGATTAATTCTCTTACAACATAACATGCTATTCCCTTTATTCATGTCTCAGATTGGGTTTAGTGGGGCACTAGAGACTTTATGCGGGCAAGGATTTGGAGCAGAACAATATGCAATGTTGGGAATCTATGTTCAAGCCTGCTCATCATATCCCTCATCTTCTCCACCATTATACCCGTCATTTGGCTCTTCACAAAATCTATCTTTATCTTGCTTCATCAATCAGCAGACATTTCAAGCACAGCTGCAGTCTATATGAGGTTTAGTATCCCAGGATTATTTGCATTTGCCTTGATTCAAAACTTCGTGAGGTTCCTTCAGACACAATCTGTTGTAGTGCCATTGGTGGTCATCTCATCTATTCCGCTATTTGTTCATATTGGCATTGTATATGCCTTGGTCAATTTGACACCTTTGGGTTTTAAGGGTGCTCCGCTTGCAGTTTCTATCACTTTTTGGGTATCACTTCTTTTGTTGGCATTGTATGTGACAAAATCAAGGAAGTTCAAGGATACTTGGAAAGGGTTCTCTTTTCAGTCATTTAGTTACGTCCTCACTGTATTGAAACTAGCTCTTCCCTCTGCTGGTATGGTCTGGTATGTTCCTCTGCTTACCTTCCGCTTCACTCATTTCCATTATTAGCAATGCCTTCGTTAACCACAGATACAGATACAACTTTTAGTGAATGTAATCTCAATTCAGTTTGATGTATCACTTTGAACTCATGAATCATACTGTATGTTTATATTATGCAAGCTTGGAGTACTGGGCCTTCGAGATTATGGTTTTCTTAGCTGGATTACTGCCAGATCCAGAAATAACCACTTCGTTGATTGCAATATGGTATGACTGTGATGCCTTTGCTTTTGTTTAGGCTTTGTGTTAGTCTTATTAATCATCATTAATATCTGCAGCGTCAATACAGAAGCCCTTGCCTACATGATTTCTTATGCTATGAGTGCAGCAGCAAGGTCAGAAATAATTAACGAAACATAGTTTCCGTTCCTTATATTCTGTTTCATGTCTTCCTGAATTGGCATTCTTGTTACATTTATTAAGAAGTTAGAATCTTGACACAGCACAAGGGTGTCCAATGAACTTGGAGCAGAACCCAGATGGAGCCAAGCATGCCATGGGTGTGACACTGAAGCTCTCTATCATTCCTGCGTTGTGTTTTGTTATAGCACTATCATTTGGTCATGGCCTCTGGGTTCAACTGTTCAATAGCAGTCCTGTGATCAGAAAAGAGTTTGCTTCCATGACACCTCTACTTGTAACTTCTATACTTCTTGATACTGCGCAATGCGTCTTATCAGGTTTAAATCTTTCATAGCCTAGAAATCGAAGCTGTGTTTTGCAGTTGTTCTTCATATGCTTTGTTCAAATAATCAGAAAATAATTGATTCTGATATTGTCAGGGGTGGCCAGAGGATGTGGTTGGCAACACCTAGCTGTATATGTCAACCTAGGAACTTTTTATTTCATTGGCTTACCAATATCTTGCATCCTTGGATTTATGACCAGCCTAACTGTGAAGGTGAGAATTACTCAGTTATTTTCCGTTACTGACCAAGCAGGTTGAGCCTTGTTATATAAATATGTCATCTAATATATACATATAAACTTCTTATGATACAGGGCTTATGGATTGGGGTGATTTGTGGGCTGGTATGCCAAGTTACAGCTTTCATAGTCCTCATAAAGCTTGGCAGATGGAAAAAAATGAGTGCGTGAGTTTTGAAGATGGTAACACAAAACACTAAGGTGATTGCTTCCACGGCTCCAAAAGTTAGTTAACCTTTTGTTTTAATCAGAATTCAACTGTCAAACTGTAGTTAAGGTTATTATGAGAATCAAACAGCCAAAATTGTTTTATGGCTTGAGAATATCACCATGAAGCACGAACGAACGGCATCTTAAATAATATTCTGCTTCTTTCTCTTGTCCAGTCAAAAGATATTGAGATTGTTCAAGTGGCCATACACCAGAATAAATAATGGGTAAAATATCAGTTTGGAGTTGGATGGATTTTTCGTTTTAAAGAAAGGACACGTGTGATAAAGTTTTAATGGAGGAAGGAGGAGCTGGAAAAAAAAAATCCAAGTGAATGGACATTAGAGAGAGAGAGAGAGAGATTGGACCACTCATGAATCTCTATCACATTACTGGCACATAGTCCAACCAAAACTAGACGTGTCATTACTCGTATACTACCCTACCCCTTGTTCCACCTTCCTTCTTACAGTTTGGAAATTCAAATGATCACGATTTAAGGTTGGAATTTTTTTAAAGAAAATATTTACATTTAGTATTTAATGTTATCTCGAACATGGTTACTTTCAATAAGAGAATATTTATATCTAAAAAAAATTAGAAATCCAATCACATCTATGATATGTTTGGATTGATAAAAATAACAATAAGAAAAATCATTTTTGTCCATTTTTTTTTATTACTCACATAGCTATATGGTATATTACCCTGTAGAGAGGTTTGAACTTATAGATACGCTTAAGAAGTACCTAGGGCAGGCATTTGGTGTCATTAAACTATAAAGCTTTGACGATTTTTCGTTTATACTTAATGCTTGTATACGTGTTTGTTGAACTTGACATAGCTTCCCGAGAATCTGTCTGCCATTTTGGCATCTAATACAAGTTCCATCTCAATCACTCGTCTGGCATCTTCAACAAGCAGCCATAACAGTCTTTTTATAGGATGCATTTCATGTTTTGAGATTGAAGTTTTGTTTTTCATTGCTACAGATTTAGTTTCGGTGATTTGAACCTTTTTTAGTCGTCTTGGGTTAAATTACAATAAACCAAATTATCAGGCGTAAATACAACTCAGGTCGTGTCTCTTGAAGAACCTTTTATTAGATCCTAAGTTAACTAAGTGACAAAGAATAAAAAAGGGGGTTGAAAAAGGAAGGGGTTGAAAAAGGATTTTTCAATTAATAAAATTAATTATGAAATAAGAAATAAATCTAAACTATTTTTTTGGGTATTTTAATAAAGAAAGAATGAAAAATGTAAATTTGAACTTTTCAAAAATCAGTAATGAGAATGCTTCTTGAAAACGAATGTAGCTATCCTTATTTAATAAAGATATGGAAGTAAAATAATGCACAAGTTAAGAGAAATAACCCCAAAAACGGTTTGGGTCAAGTAAACTTAACACTTACTACCCTAAACGGTAGATAGTAATCAGGTTATTAAGTCACCTTTAAAAATTACTTGATGTGCAATTTAAATTGAGCTAATAAAACTTGTTTCCCCTCTCAAAGAATGCTCACGAAGACACTCAATTGTAATACATCTCAATCATAAAATCTAATAATGTGCCAGATAAAATAATTTTAATGAATGCAAAGGAATATATATAAATTCAAATTCTAAGTAATACAACTCAAATTAAACTGCAAAATCTAATTAACAGAAATTATAACGCATAATCTTAGTCTCCAAATCAAAAATATTCCTAACACAGGAAAAATCTAATGAAGTTCAGAAAAAAATTAATTGGAAAACTAAATACTCCCCTAATTGAAGCTCTAAGTTCAAGTTACTCCTCCATCTTCAAGAAGCACAAGAAAATTAGCCTCTCATGACTCTAGCAGCATCTACAATATTTGAAGGAGTGAGAATCCATGAGGCCATGGAGGAAGGATGAATGTGAAAAATTGTTGTTCACCACTGGAGAGGTATGAAAATTGGATGAATAGTGACGGTGGGTGATTGAATGGAAATTGGAGTGTCGCGGTCTGATGGTATGCGGGTGTATGAGTACGGCGTATGAGTGGGGTGTGAATATGGCCGAAAGGGAAAAGGATGAAAACTGGTGGAGAAAGAAATTGAGTTGTGTGGCAGCGTGGGTGTATGCGTGTGGAGAGGATACGAGGGTGTGTGAGTGTGTCATGGCTCGGTGGTATATATAGGAAAGGAATGGAGAGAGGCGGGAGAGGTATGAAAATTGGATGAATAGTGATGGTGGGTGATTGAATGGAATTGGAGTGTCGCGGTCTGATGGTATGCGGGTGTATGAGTACGGCGTATGAGTGGGGTGTGAATATGGCCGAAAGGGAAAAGGATGAAAACTGGTGGAGAAAGAAATTGAGTTGTGTGGCAGCGTGGGTGTATGCGTGTGGAGAGGATACGAGGGTGTGTGAGTGTGTCATGGCTCGGTGGTATATATAGGAAAGGAATGGAGAGAGGCGGTCGTGATACTGCGTGAAGGAGGGGATATAATATATATCCAAATCAAATATGAAGGATTGGGTGTGGATAATTTCCGTGGCTTTTTTTTTTGAATCCATAAAAATATAGATAATATTATAATCTGATGCCATCCAAGCTGTGTTTCCAATTTCCCTTTTTTATATTTTTTTTCCCTTCCTTTCAGTTTTCTCATTATCTTTATTTTCTTTTTTTTTAAGGCCTGCAAAAGATAAATTGAAATACTATTACAAGGTCCAAAATAAATTATTTAAAAAGAGATAAAAATATGATAAGATCTCCTATTAAATCTCTAATTTCATGTAATCAGTATTTGATTCAAAATACCCACAATCAATACAATTTATCCCACTTTAATTGATAAATATCTCTAAAAAAATATCAAATAATATATTAAAATCAGAATTTATCATTAAAACCCTGCTACCAGAATTTGTTGCTTCAACAGATGGTTCAGTCCATTTGATGACTGTGAGCTCATTAATGATTTGTTAAAAGTAATTGATTTTATCTGTAGGTGATAGGGATGCATTTTATGAATCCGCCTCCTGTCATGAAGCTGATTGAGATTGTGAGAGGCGCAGACACTTCAGAAGACACATTCAAGGCAACAAAAGCATTGTCTGAGAGGTTAGTTATTTACCATTCTCCATTGTGAAAGGGATGTAATTTTCCCCTTAATTCCCCTGCCCTTTCTTGAAGATCTTGATTCCTCTAATTCTTTATTCTAATTTTCCTTTATAACCTTAACTTTCTAATCTCCCTCCTGCTGCTCTGCCCCACAAAGAAATGTAAACACGAACAGTTAAATGCTGTGTGTTTGACCATGATGTGGTAGACTGGACATTGGATGCCCTTTGAAGCTGATATAGCTTCCTCTCCTTTTACACTTCTCTCTTTTTATTTACACTTTCTGGCCCTTCTTATGTCAGACACAGCTTGATAAGGACATCATCACATGTTTGCTCTAATTTACTAGTTCAAAACATGCAGGTTGGGCAAGACAACAATAACCTCTCAGGATTATTCTGGCTTCATAGTGAATCGAATCCTTATGCCGATGATAAACGAAGCATTCTTTGCTCTTTACACTGGAGTTGCAACTAAAGAGGATATTGATGCAGGAATGAAGCTGGGAACTAACCATCCAATGGGTCCTTTGGAGCTTGCAGACTTCATTGGATTGGATGTTTGCCTGTCAATAATGAGAGTTCTTCACGCTGGCCTTGGTGACAATAAATACACACCCTGCCCTCTACTAATTCAGTATGTTGATGCTGGCCGACTTGGAAGAAAACGAGGTATTGGGGTATATGACTATCGTAGGGGGCCCAAGGGGAAGAAATCATCTTCTCGACTCTAAGCTGCACGGTTTGAAAATAAAATGTCCAAGCAGCTCATCCGGATTAGTCTTATGGCAACTTTGTGTCTGCTCGCGAGGCAAACAACTGAAATTGGAATTGGCATTTACTGAAATCAATGAGATTGCAATGTACGAAAGGAAATGCTTAGCAAAAATATAATCATAGGACATATGGGCCGATGGCAATCTAAGTGCTGTAAAATGTTATCATTTTGTAGAACTCTAAGATTCTGGGAGATTTGTTTTCAATTCACCGCAAGCATCATCTGGGTGGAAGTTTCTGGTTTGTCCGATAATGATTACACCATTGCTAAAGGTGCGAGTAAGATGGTGAATCCACAAGTTCCAGGCTTTTATCTCATTAGACGTTAAAGACTTCTAAGGCACTGTTTGGGTGACACCCCAAACCATAGTCTGGGGACTCAAACCATGGTTTGGGTGATAAATCACCCAAACACCCACCCAATTTGCACAAACCATGGTTTTAGGGCCAAAACCGTGATTTTGGAAAAAACAAAAATTTTTTGCTTTTGGAGAAAAAAGGGAGAGTGTGAGAGCTTATAGGATATGTATCTTGTTATTTTTTTATAAACATATTTAATCTTATATTTTATAAATATATATACATATTAATTATTTATTAATTATATTATCTTATGTATTATTAATTATGTTAATAAAAAATATATTATTAACAATTTTATTCTTTCAAATTAAAATATATCATAAAATCTATTTTTCTGTAATTATCATATTAACTTATGTCTTTTTTTTAGTAATTTGTATATATAAAAAGTGCTTCTGATAACAACTATTCTTTTCAGAATCTATTCTTCTCAGAATCTATTCTCCAGAATCACTTTTTCAAACTACGGTTTGGTTTCATCCAAACACACTCTAAGTCTAAATTAATTGGAAGAGACAACTGCATATTGCATTCATCATTTTAGAATAAGAGGATGTATAACTACAGCTAGACAGAGGAAGGAGCCTTGAAGAATTTGGTGTTAAAAAGTAAATCTTGAAACTAGGTTCTTCGTATTAAGATTACACCGCCGGGGATTCAAATCTTAATTTCATGGGTTGATGGTTTTATCTATTTTGTTAATATATTTTTATCAGAAGTTTTATTACTAGTCATCCTTGAGCACCCCAATTTCAACCTAGCTAGACCTACCTGCCACCCTTTAATCGCTCTACAGATGTCATCATTACTAGGTAGGCATCATAGTTGACAAGGATTGGATCAAGACTTGAGAGGAAAGAAAGTGTGTAGCATAAATAGCTAAGAAAAGAAAGTAGAGAGAGAAAGCTCGGAAGCTGAGGTTTTCCGTTTTCCGTTTTCCGTTTTCCTTTGTCTGGGATTTGAGATCTGAGCAAGAAAGGAGATGAAGTTCTTGTTTCAGTGCCCCTGTTGCTCATGCTTCTGCTTCTTGAAGCCCAGGAAGGGAAAACCAAAGGCCAAGGAAGTGAAAGAAGAGAAGCAAGAAAACAAGGAAGAAAAGAAAGAGTGACACTACTGATACTTGCTCAATCATTAAAGTTTGTCTGTGATTGTTGGTATCTTCTCTCCCTTTTGTTTCTCACTCGTCTTCTAAACATGCTCAAAATCTTGAGTTTACTTTCTACTTCCTGAATATGCGATCTAGATGCTAGCTTCAAAATGCACAATGCCCTGGCTTTAAGTGCTAAGCATGGAAAATAATTTATACTGTTCGTGTCATACTCATTTCCTTCTGGCCTGCTCTATTGTATGGATCCAAAATTTTCACAGAGATAGTGGCCTAGAAATAACCTGAGCAGCAAGTTCTGTGTTAAGTATGAAAGTTATTCCGATCTCCTTCCACATATTAATTATTTTCGCTGGAAAAGAACATTCATCCGGGCTCTAGGAGTTGGCAAGTGAAATTCCCAGTGCAGAAACAGCAGCTTTTTAACTTTCAAAAGACAGCCAACAAAGAGGTAATCCAAGGTTTTCACATGTTTACTTGTTTATTACTACATCATACTAGAAGATCCAGAGTTGATGGAGACAAGATCCTTGCATGGGTTTGAATTGAATACCGTCTCTGTTGTCTTATTAAAATGAAGCTTTTAATAGTCATCCATAAACTTGCGTGTTCTACTCTCTCCCCGCACCCCTCCCCCCGGGGTTTTCTTCCGCCATCAAATCTGACTCTTTTGTTTTTAATTTTTTTTTTCCGCTCAATGTGTGGATTAGTTTTTTTTTTCCCCAAGTGGTTCTACGAAAAAGTTAAGTATGTGGGATGATTTTTTTTTCTTTACTTATGATTATGTAGGAGTTGGAAAAAGCACACACTCTTTAAAGCGAGTTTCACGAGTGACGGTTCGAGTACTAATTTTTGTACATGCATCTATCTAAAGAAAAAATTACTCGTCCGGTCCTTAATAAAAAATCCATTTAACTAATTTGATTAGATTAAAAAAGTTAGGTAAGTTAGTTAATTATAAGAAATGTGACACGTTTTTCCTAAAATACTATAATCATCTTTCTTAATACCCCATTTTTCTTTTCTACTTGATGATGGTTGAAGAAGTATCCATAGGGGTAATTTAGAGAAAATTGACAAATATGAGAAATGAGTCTTATATTTAAGACCAAAACTAACTCAATAATTAGGTCTTATATTAAGGACCGGAGGAGTATTATTGATAACTTTTGATAGTAAGCTCACAGTGTTTTTCTTATTTTCTTAGAAATGAAGACGTATTAATGATGTTTTTGATCATCCTGACAAACTGATCCCATACGGTGTCTTTTTCTGGAATCCTCGAGTGTAGGAAACAAACAAACATTTCAACACGGGACGCTTTTGTAGCGTAGGTAGGGATTTGTATTGGAATCAAAAGAAATTATTTTAACATTAAGAGATTATTTTTCTATTTGAAAAAATTAAATAAGAAATCGTAAAAATATAATAGATATTACTCTCTACCTGATCAATTTATAAGAAAGTTTTAATGAATTATGAAAATCAATAAATCTCATTAAATGTAGTTAAAAACTTTAATTTCGTTCCAAAAAACTATAAACTTCTAAAAATATCATTCATTTAATATTAATGCTTAATTAACTCACACTTATTAATAAAATATATTCTTCGAAGAAAGTCATCAATGAATTATTATTTTCTTAAAAATAATTTATTAAATAAAACATTAAAATATTTTACTAAAATATCTTATAAATGAGAACATAGTAATCTAATAAGGAGAGCCGCTAATGCAACCCGCAACTTGTCAACAAATTGTTGCGTCCGCTCCTTCTTATAAAATTCAAAATTTTAAATTGGTCCAGTATTTTTTTATAAAATTCAATTTGGTGTTGTCTAAATATTAAATACATTTTTATTAATCTTATCCTTAATTAATTATTTTTTTTCCTCATAATTTTTCTCTGAAGCTCCCCTCTTATAAATAGTATTTGGAAAAAAAAATACATTTCTTATGTATTTATTATTTTTAATTAATGTTAACATATTTTCAAAACTATGTGATTCGGTTAATTGGTCTTAGAATTTTTTTTTTGGCCAGCTGGATCGTATAAAAAATTGAATGTAGTATTTTGAAAAAAAAAATTATGAGTGAGAACATATACTCTAATAGAGAGTCGCCCCCATTAAATCCAAACCGCAACTGCCACAATTTTTTTTATTACCATCGTCATCAGAAAAAAGGACAACTGGTTGAACGTAAGACTACAATCAAATAATATTCACATACACTGAACAAAAATTAGGTCTAACAGAATAGATTAATCCTTCATAATATGATAAATCAAAATTTATTTATATTTAATATGTGACAGTACGTTAAATATAATTGTGAGGATAACTATGTTTTAATGGGAGAAAAAAAATAATGCTCAGATATTCAGCCCAGCCATTTTTTTGTTCTTACATTGTGGATGTGGATTAGCAGAAAAGGTCAAGTGTCCGTGCACCGGCTTCATTATATTTGTAAATTTTTAATTTGATATGGTCAACAAAGTAAACAAAAGATCTTGCCTGTATTTTCATCCACTTCTTTATTGCCTCAGTGTCTTCTCTAAATTGATCAACCCAAGTTCCAATTCAAGACCACGCAGAGGGCAGAGGAAGGAATAGCGAAGACAGGATAGAAAAGATGCTGGAAGACAAAGGTTCAAATGACGAAGAAACACTATCCAAGCCTCTATTATCAGAGGTCACTGATGTTAGGGAAGAAGGACAAGAACACACAAGAATTAACGCTGTTTATGGGTGGTGGAGCAAAGTCTTGGACCCGGAGGAGGCCAAGAACCAACTCATGTTTTCACTACCTATGATTCTCACAAACGCGTCATATTACTTAGTCGCTTTGGTTTCTGTCATGTTCGCCGGTCACCTTGGTGTCCTTCAGCTTGCTGGCTCCACTCTAGCCAACTCGTGGTTCAGTGTCACCGGCGCCTCCGTTGTGGTAAGATTCTTTTTCCTTTTTGTATGCTTATTTTCCCACACTAGAATATTCTTAAACACTGGAAGTGCACTGCTGTTTGGTTCTGAATATTCTAATCAGGGGGCGTTTGGCAGTGTACAGTGTGTTTGAAATACTTCAAACTCTTGGATGGTTAAAAGGTTATGGAATGGGTAGGTTAGGCAATTCCTAAATGGGATTGTTTGATATTTCATACCTGTTTTGCACCACTAATTTCATTGTAACTTCTATCGCCTCACTTTTTTTATAAAGACAGTATTAAACTGGGTATTCTCCTTCACTTTCATTCTATTCAGCATATTCAAAGTTCATACGTATGCTAGATAATGGCTTATAAGGCTTATGGAATGAATGGACTTTAAAGTGCTTTCAAATCCCCTAGTTGAGTGTGAGAGCCTAATGCGTTTTGACTTGTATGAGGAGCCACGTGCTGCTAATCCTTAATTTGTTTTTCTTTTATGGTCTTGCACATTAGCGCTTTGATTTTAGTTTTCTCTCAACTCTATTGCATTTTTCCGTAGGACAGCTTTTCCACGTATGACTTAGAAATTGAACTAATATGCCATTCACTTATTCCATGATAATAAGCTGAAATGAAAGTATGAAATGAAAGTATGGCCTACTTTTCTTAAGAATTATAAGAGCTAGGTCCATCAAGCGTAATAGTTTAGAAACAAGTTCTTATAACATGTTATGCCTTTCATTCTTCTCTCAGGTTGGGTTAAGTGGGGCACTAGAGACATTATGCGGGCAGGGATTTGGAGCAAAAGAATTTGAAATGTTGGGAATCTATCTTCAAGCCTCCTGCATCATATCCCTTATCTTCTCCATCATTATATCCATCTTTTGGTGCTACACAGAATCTATCTTTATCTTGCTTCATCAATCTCAAGACATTTCAAGCACCGCTTCTCTATATATGAAGTTTGTTATCCCAGGGTTATTTGCATATGGAATCCTTCAAAACATATTGAGGTTCCTTCAAACGCAATCTGTTGTGTTGCCATTAGTGGTCCTCTCAGCTCTTCCACTGATGGTTCATATTGGCATTGCATATGCCTTAGTCCATTTGACATCTTTGAGCTTTAAGGGTGCTCCGATTGCACTTTCCATCACTTGTTGGGTATCCATGTTTTTGTTGGGACTGTATGTGATGAATGCGAAGAAGTTCAAGCACACTTGGAAAGGGTTCTCTTTTCATTCATTTCATTACATCCTTTCTGTCTTGAAACTAGCTCTTCCCTCTGCTGCTATGGTATGGTATGTTCCTCTAGTCACCTTTCACTTCACCGATTTCCATTTGCAATGCCTTTGTTAACTACAGACACAGATATAGATCGTACAACTTTTAGAGAGTGTAATCTTAAGTCAGTTTAATGTATCACTCTAAACTCATGAATCATACTGTATGTTTATATTATGCAAGCTTGGAGTTCTGGGCCTTCGAGATTTTGGTTTTCTTAGCTGGATTACTGCCAGATTCAGAAATAACCACTTCATTGATCGCCATATGGTATGATTGTGATGCTTTTGCGCTTGTGTGTGTTTGTGTCTGTCCTGTTAATCCTCATCAATATTTGCAGTGTCAACACAGAATCCATTGCCTACATGATTTTTTATGGTCTGAGTGCAGCAGCGAGGTTAGAAATAATGGAACACAGTCTCCTTATTCTGTCTCATGTCTTCCTGAATTAGCATTCTCATTACATGTATTGACAAGTTAGAATCTTGACATAGCACTAGGGTTTCCAATGAGCTGGGGGCAGACAATCCAGAAAGAGCCAAGCATGCCATGGGTGTGACTCTGAAGCTCTCTATCTTTCTTTCCTTGTGTGCTGTTGTAGCACTTTCACTTGGTCATGGCCTCTGGATTGAACTATTTAGTAGCAGTTCTGTAATCAAACAAGAGTTTGCTTCCATGGCACCTCTACTAGCAATTTCTATACTACTTGATTCTGTACAAGGCATCTTATCAGGTTTGAATTCCTTGTAACCGAAGGTTGAATCTTGAAACAAAGTTTTCTATGTTGATATTCAGATTTATGTTCGGATCTTTTAGAGGAGAATTGATTTTGATACTTCAGGGGTGGCTAGAGGATGCGGTTGGCAACACTTAGCTGTATATGTCAACCTCGCAACTTTTTATCTCATTGGTTTACCAATATCTTGGCTCCTTGGATTTAAGTCCAAACTACGTGCGAAGGTAAAAAAAAAAAAAACTCAGTTATATTTCGTTACAGAGTGAGTCGGTTGAGCCTAGTTATATAAATATGTACTCTCTAAAAAATAATCCGTTTTTTTTTTTTAACGATGTAGGGCTTATGGATTGGGTTGATTTGTGGGCTGGCATGCCAAACTCTAGCTCTCCTATTCCTCACAAAGCGTGCCAAATGGACTAAACTGAGTGTATGAGAGACGGAAGGGAAAAAAATACCAGCAACCCACTTTTGTTTTAACTTGGCAAACATGTTAACTTGTTTCAATTCACCGCAAGCATCATTTTGGTGGTAGTAAGTTTCCGTCTTGTCCGATAATTATGACACCATTGCTGAAGGCGCAAGTAAGATTGTTATCAATACTGAGCCTTGAAGTTGCAAATCTCATGGGACAGTAAGGACTTCTGAGCATAAAGTTGGAAGAGATACCTCTATGCTGCATGCTTCATTTTAGAATAAGGATGTGTTAAACGGAGAAAGCGAGCTAGAAGGTGGTGTTAAACAATAAATTTTGAAATTAGGTTCTTCATATTGAGATTATGTCTAATGGTCCAAATCTTAAATTCATATTTTGAAGGTTGTATTCTCATTGATTGCCAGCTTAGGAATATCTCTGTCTAAGGCAATGGATAAGAAAGTTGTGCACTTTCTGAATTATGTGTGGGCGATGTAACCCAAAAGGAAGCGGCTGTTTGGAAACCGAGGAAGAGATAGAGGGAAAAAAAACAGAAAAAGAAAGAGTGACCCTACTGATAAAGAGTCAATGCTCATTATGGAAGTTTATATCTTTGATTGTTGGTCTCTCTTTCCTTTCTGCTTCTCACTTGTCTTGCTTCCTGAATATGCAAATGAAGTCCGGATGCTAGTTTCAAAATATACATTGCCTTTAACTGCTAAGAATGCAAAATAATTTATCCTGTTCCTGTCATGCTCATTTCCTTCTGGTCTATTTTATTGGATAAGCAGCAAGTTCCGTATTAAGTATAAGGCTTATTTCAATCAACTTCCACTTTCAAGTGTTAATTATTTTCTCTGGGAAAGAGAATTCTACCAGCATCTGGAAGTTGACGAGGGAAATTCCTAGTAGGATTTAGCTTTCGAAAGATAGCCCACAAGTAGGTAATCCGATATTTTCGTAAGTTGATTTGTTCAATAGATCATACTCGAAGATCTAGATAGAGACAAGATCCTTGCATAGGTTGGATTGAAGACCATTTTTTATTTATTTTTTCTTTCCTTATTAAAATGAAGCCATTAATAGTCATTTGTAAACTTGCTTGTTAAAATAGAAGCGTTCGCTGTTGATAGTTATAAATCGCTGATTTTTTTTCTTTACCTTTGGCATTGCAGAAAGGGTCGAGATTTATTTATGGAACGATTTAAAAGTTTCCGATTTAATATAGCAAACAAAAAAATCTGGGCTGTACGTCTTCAATGCCATAAAAAACTTTCTGGTAAATGACCTGACAACTGACACGACATAAAACCCATGCCCATGCAAAGCATGACTCAATATGTAATTGTCAATTCTGGTCCAAAAGAAAAAAAAAAGAGAATTGCAATTAGGTCCCACTCAAGGGAATTAAATACAAAAAGGTCTCTTAAAATTATAAAATTATTCTGAAGTCTCAAGGGACTTTTTTGCAATAAATTTTATTTGTTTAATTACCAAATTATCTTTTTTTTTTAAAAAAAATTTGTATTGACAACTGAAAGAGCAGTGGTTGACAACTCAGAGTGCAAGGATTGACAACTATCGCGGCTGGTTTGACAACACATTTTCTAGCATATCACACCATAAGTTGTCAAACCAGCCACGATAGTTGTCAATCATTGCACCCTGAATTGTCAACCACTGCTCTTTCAGTTGTCAATGCAAACTTAAAAAAAAAAAACAAAAGGGTAATTTGGTAAGTAAATAAATAAAATTTAATGCAAAATTTTTTTTAGGATTTTAAAATAATTTCATGATTTTAAGGGACTTTTTGTATTTAATTCCAGTGGGACCTAATTGTCATTTTTCCCAAAAAAAAATTCTAATTGTCAAATCGTAACGAGGTCCAACGACAACAAACTCTTCCCTTATTTCACTTAGGTTTGACTTGTGGATACCATCTGTATAAAAAGTATAATTGACACCAGTTATGGCAAAAAGGAAAAAAAAATCCCTCCTGTCCTTAGTATATAATTGTTAAATTAAAACAAATATAACGAGGGTTAAGTTACAATTTATGTTGGAATATAATTGTCAAATTAAAACAAATATAACGCAGGGTTAAGTTACAATTTATGTTGGAAGATTTTGCTTAGGACTAATGCTGTCACGAAAATTTTTTCAGGTTTAATATTATAGCTCCAAAAGTTTCAAGACATAGCAATGGTATTTCATCCTGTTTAAAAACTAACATTCACTGGTAAAATTTGCAATGGTAACAGACAACATTGCTCCATTTTAATACTTTCAGGGCAACCTTCAATTCAAAAAAACCTTTCATAATATTGTTTCTGAGTGAAAAACTTTTAGGATAAATTTATACCTCTAACTTAAAATATACTCTTCTGGTCCTTAATATAGGACCCAATTCTTGAATTGGTTTTGATCCTAAATATAAGACTCATTTATCATATTTATCAATTTTCTCTAAATTACCTCTATAGATACTCCCTCAACCATGATTAAGTAGAAGAGAGAGATGTGTATTAAAAAAGATGATTATGGTATTTTAAAAAAAATGTGTCACTTTCAAATTAGTTAAATGATTCTTATATTAAGAACCGGAAAAGTATGTATATTTTATTATAGATGGAAAATAACGATTGAACAAAATCTAAATCTTTGGCGGAAAACAGAATAGAGCAAAATCTAAATCCAAAACTCAAAAAGAGAAAGCCTTTTTGAATTTTTAGTTATGAAAGGGTGAAGTTTTATATTTTCATAACCATAAAACTGCACCATTTCATGGTTGTAAATTTTACGTTCATAAAAAATATAAAATTATCATATAAAAATATATAAAATTGCATACTTCATGGTTTATGAGCACAAGATACCGAACTGTTAGTTAACAAAAATTGGGGGTGAAAAAAAAAAAAGGAGAGAAGAGCCGTTAGGTTGGCGGCATTATCGCAGAAGAGGCACATGTGTGAATAGTCCCATCACTCCGCTTCTCACCTTCGTCTCTAAGTACTCTCAGACTCCTCTAGATTCAATACATCACGCAGAGAGCAGAGGAAAGGATAGCGAAAACGAGATTAAAAAGATGTTGGGAAACAGAGGTTCAAATGACGAAGAGACACAATCCAGGAGGCCTCTTATACCAGAGGTCACTAATGGTGGAGAGGAAGGACAAGAACACACAAGAACTGACACCGTCCATGGCTGGGGTAGCAAAATCCTGGACTTGAAGGAGGCCAAGGATCAAATCGTTTTTGTATTACCTATGATTCTCACTAACGTGTCCTATTTCTTAGTCACCTTGATTGCTGTCATGTTCGCTGGCCAGCTTGGTGTCCTTCAACTTGCTGGTGCTACTCTGGGTAACTCATGGTCCACCGTCACCGGCGCCGCCGTTATGGTAAGAGTCTTTTCCGTTTTTGTATGCTTATTTTCCCACATTAGATATTCTTAAAACTGGAAGCTACACTGCAATGCGATTATAAATTCCTCAACATATATTAAAAGAAGTTAATAAATGCGTTGACTAGTTGGTAAGCAAGCAAGACCCATGAAAAAGATAGAGTTCACAGTGCTTTCAAGAATCGAAACGTGTGGGTGAAGAGGCTAATAAAAATGGGGGAGAGATATTGCTGAAAAAGGCAATGGGACCATCGGATTGGCTTCTTGAAATATGATTTAGAAATTAAGCTGATATGCCATGCACTTATACAGTGATAACAAAATTGAGATGAAAGTATGGCTTACTTTACAAATTTTTAGAGCTAGGTCCGTCAAGCATTATAGTTAAGGATTAAGTTCTTACAACGTAACATGCTATTCCCTTTATTCATGTCTCAGATTGGGTTAAGTGGGGCACTAGAGACTTTATGCGGGCAAGGATTTGGAGCAGAACAATATGCAATGTTGGGAATCTATGTTCAAGCCTGCTGCATCATATCCCTCATCTTCTCCACCATTATAGCCGTCATTTGGCTCTTCACAAAATCTATCTTTATCTTGCTTCATCAATCAGCAGACATTTCAAGCACAGCTGCAGTCTATATGAGGTTTAGTATCCCAGGATTATTTGCATATGGCTTGATTCAAAACTTCGTGAGATTCCTTCAGACACAATCTGTTGTAATGCCATTGGTGGTCATCTCATCTATTCCGCTATTTGTTCATATTGGCATTTTATATGCCTTGGTCAATTCTTTGGGTTTTAAGGGTGCTCCGATTGCAGTTTCTATCACTTTTTGGGTAGCAATTCTTTTGTTGGCATTGTATGTGACAAAATCAAGGAAGTTCAAGGATACTTGGAAAGGGTTCTCTTTTCAGTCATTTAGTTACGTCCTCACTGTATTGAAACTAGCTCTTCCCTCTGCTGGTATGGTCTGGTATGTTTCTCTGCTTACCTTCCGCTTCACTCATTTCCATTATTAGCAATGCCTTCGTTAACCACAGATACAGGTACAACTTTTAGTGAATGTAATCTCAATTCAGTTTGATGTATTACTTTGAACTCATGAATCATACTGTATGTTTATATTATGCAAGCTTGGAGTACTGGGTCTTCGAGATTTTGGTTTTCTTAGCGGGATTACTGCCAGATCCAGAAATAACCACTTCGTTGATTGCAATATGGTATGACTGTGATGCCTTTGCTTTTTGTTTAGGCTTTGTGTTAGTCTTATTAATCATCATTTATATCTGCAGCGTCAATACAGAAGCCCTTGCCTACATGATTTCTTATTCTATGAGTGCAGCGGCAAGGTCAGAAATAATTAACGACACATAGTTTCCGTTCCTTATATTCTGTTTCATGTCTTCCTGAATTGGCATTCTTGTTACATTTATTAAGAAGTTAGAATCTTGACACAGCACAAGGGTTTCCAATGAACTTGGAGCAGACAACCCAGATGGAGCCAAGCATGCCATGGGTGTGACACTGAAGCTCTCTATCATTCCCGCGTTGTGTTTTGTTATAGCACTATCATTTGGTCATGGCCTCTGGGTTCAACTGTTCAATAGCAGTTCTGTGATCAGACAAGAGTTTGCTTCCATGACACCTCTACTTGTAACTTCTATACTTCTTGATACTGCGCAATGCGTCTTATCAGGTTCAAATCTTTCATAACCTAGAAATTGAAGCTGTGTTTTGCAGTTGTTCTTTGTTCTTCATATGTTTTGTTCAAATAATCAGAAAATAATTGATTCTGATATTGTCAGGTGTGGCCAGAGGATGTGGTTGGCAACACCTAGCTGTATATGTCAACCTAGGAACTTTTTATTTCATTGGCTTACCAATATCTTGCATCCTTGGATTTATGACCAGCCTAACTGTCAAGGTGAGAATTACTCAGTTATTTTCCGTTACTGACCAAGCAGGTTGAGCCTTGTTATATAAATATGTCATCTAATATATACATATAAACTTCTTATGATACAGGGCTTATGGATTGGGGTGATTTGTGGGCTGGTATGCCAAGTTACAGCTTTCATAGTCCTCATAAAGCTTGGCAGATGGAAAAAACTGAGTGCGTGAGTTTTGAAGATGGTAACACAAAACACTAAGGTGATTGCTTCCACGGCTCCAAAAGTTAGTTAACTTTTTGTTTTAATCAGAATTCAACTGTCAAACTGTAGTTAAGATTATTATGAGAATCAAACAGCCAAAATTGTTTTATGGCTCGAGAATATCACCATGAAGCACGAACGAACGGCATCTTAAATAATATTCTGCTTCTTTCTCTTGTCCGGTCAAAAGATATTGAGATTGATCAAGTAGCCATACACCAGAATAAATAATGGGTAAAATATCAGTTTGGAGTTGGATGGATTTTTCGTTTTAAAGAAGGGAAAATTACATTCAGGTCTCACAGAAGACAATTAATTTCAAAAAAGTCCTTGAAATTTCGAAATAATTCTCAAGTCTCCCGAGACCTGTGTGTAATTAATTGTAATTTGTGAAATTACTTATTTACCTCCATTAATTTTATTGCAGCAATTCATTTACAACCTTAACAGTGGCTATTGAGAAGTGGTTGACAATCTTGGCAGTACTCCTGACAACTCACTCTATGGGATGCCAGGGGCATTGCCGAGGTTGTTAACCACCTCCTCTCGGGTTGTCAACAGCTACTGTTGATGTTGTAAATGAATTACATTGGGTTCAAATTAATGGGGTAAATAGGTAATTTCACAATTACAATTAATTACACACAGGTTCTTGGAGACTTAAGAATCATTTCGGGATTTTCAGGGACTTTTTAAAAATTAATTATCTTATGTGAGACCTGAGTGTAATTTTTCCTTTAAAGAAAAGACACGTGTGATAAAGTTTTAATGGAGGAAGGAGCTGGGAAAAAAAATCCAAGTGAATGGACATTAGAGAGAGAGAGACATTGGACCACTCATGGATCTCTATCACATTACTGGCACATAGTCCAACCAAAACTAGATGTGTCATTACTCGTATGCTACCTCTTTTTTTTTTTTTTTTTTGGCCAAAACTCGTATGCTACCTCTTGTTTCACCTTCCTTCTTATAGGTTAGAAATTCAAGTAATCACGATTTAAGGTTTGAATTTCTTTTTAAAAAAATATTTGCATTTAGTATTTAATATTATCTCGAACATGGTTACTTTTAATAAGAAAATATTTATATCTAAAAAAAATTAGAAATCCAATCACATCTATAATATGTTTGGATTGATAAAAATAACAATAAGAAAAATCATTTTTGTCCATTTTTTTTAATTACTCACATAGCTATATAGTATATTACCCTGTAGAGAGGTTTGAACTTATAGATACGCTTAAGAAGTACCTAGGGCAGGCATTTGGTGTCATTAAACTATAAAGCTTTGACGATTTTTCGTTTAAACTTAATGCTTGTATATGTGTTTGAACTGGACATAGCTTCTTGAGAATCTGTCTGCAAACACATAAAGAGAAAATTACAAACAAAGACTCCTTAATATGTAAAATTGAGATTTGAGATCCTGAATTTGAAAAATAGCAAATAAGAACTGGGTCTCACTTTTACAAATGTGGAATATGGGTGAAATGTCTGAAATACCTCTCAGTCAAATGACAAGTTGACTATAGAAATGACAAGTGCATTTTAGCAAATGACAATTTCAATAGATCAAATCACAATTTGGCTGAGGGTATACCAAATGAGAAGTTGACTGTGAAAAATGACAAGTTCACCTTAGCGAATTACAATTTCAGTAGACCAAATCACAATTTAACTGAAGGGCATTTCAGACATTTCACCCACATTTCATATTTGCAAAAGTGAGACCCGGTCCTTATTTGTTATTTTCTAAATTCAGGGTCCCAAATCACAATTTTATATATTGAGGGGTCTTTATTTGTAATTTTTCCAAACATAAATGAAAATGAAACAATAAAAATATTTATATAACATGAAATTATTTTTACAAAGGAAAAGAACATTAACATCTTAAATAATCTAAAGATTGTGAAAGTTTGCTGAGTGCTTGCATGGTTTAGTGTTTGAAATATCAAAACGTCTTAAATTCACGTTGACAGCAATCTCATGGTCAAGTAAACGTTATGATGTCGGCTGATTAATTCATACTACCACAGTACTAAGAAATAAAGCGATAAAAATTTGAGAAAATATGAAATGAGAAGCCACGAAACTTTCATAAAAAGACTTAATCCACGGGGAAAAAGTCTACAGGGAAGAGATCAAAAAGTCACCAACCTAATAAATTTGAGCTTTTCCGTTTATGAACCCTAAAACGATTGATTTTGAGAGGTAGGACACGTGTTTGATTTTCAACCATAGAACAGTCTCTCTCAATCTCATGCCCTGAGTCGTGTTTACCAGACAACATTTATTATAATCTCAGCTGGCAGAATATTATTTTATAAATATAAGCTATATAAAACGAACTAATTCAAAGAATTTTTTTTTGTTTAAATTTACCAACAAAAAAAAAAGTTGCCCGGAGAAGAGAAGGGTTAGAAAATATAGCATGAGTTAGATTCCAACGAAGGTAAAGGAAAATACAACATTTTTGTTACTCAACCAACCACCAGGAAAAGCAAATACAACATGTACACCCATCAGTAAAATTGATGAAGTAAAATGCAAACTTTCTCTGCGGCTTATATGGTAAAAAGGGAATCGCGTAAAAGCGCAGAGAAAAAGTGAACAAGGCCGAAAGTGAAAAACAAAGCCTGTAGAATCATTATTTACTTTCGCTCTATTAATTATTAATCTCGACAATTATTGTCCAACTAATGGCATTTGAGCTCGCTCTCCGAAAGATTAGACAAGAAATTATTATATTATTATTAACTGTGCATACGGTTAATAAGTTTGAGGATTTCGATGGACTCAAGTCACTCAACAATTACAGCCAGTGGAGCCTTTGTGATCATTTTCAATTTAGTATGAATTAATCAGAATTTCATGTGATTTTGAAGATGATCTGACTGCCAGAATAATTAAAAAAAAGAAAGCTTTGATCTCTATAATTATGACTAGGTTGTAATTTAGTCCCAAAATTTTGATTCAGTATAATATAATTGTTATAATTTTGACTTAATTATAACTTAATTTTTATAGTTTAATTATTTAAAATATTTGTCTCTATATTTTGCAAAATAAATATATTTTATGATACTTAAGGATTAAGATTTTAAATGTTTTTAAATTATCAAGATTAAAATGTACTGATTTGAAAATTCAATTACCAAAGAAATCATCTTTTCAAAAAAGAACGGGCAAGGGCTAAGGAGAGCAACAAAGTGAAGGCAGTCCCACCATGTTGGCATGGTAGAGAGCTCTAGTCCAATCACTATTACTACCACCTTAACTCCGTTTCCTTTAACCCACTAATATGTCGCCACGTGTGGTGACTTCAGCTACACACGTCGTACCCTCGCATTTTACACGCATGCTCCAATCCCTCTCTCTCATCTACCCCATGCAACGGGTAATCTTTGTCCTTTCCCCTTCATCATTTCCTCTTTTTATACCTCTCACTTCTTCTTCCTCCCTGCGAGCTCTTTCTTCTTCTGCTACCTCCACTTTCCGATCACATCTCCTCCGCTCATGGAGTCTCGCACACCTCTCCTCCTCCTCCTTCTCCTCATCAGCCTTCTCTATCTCTCCCATGCTCGTATGTTCTACGTCGGTAACACAGATGGTTGGGTTTTGAACCCCTCTGAGAGTTACAGTCAATGGTCTTCTCGAAACAGGTTTCAGGTCAACGACGTTCTCGGTGAGTTCTTCTCCTAGCTTCATTCCCGCTCTTCAATTTCGTCTTTCTGTTTGTTTTAAGTTTGTCTTCCTCCTCTTAGTAGGTGAAGTCAAAGATTACTACTGGACGCACCACTATGGCTTACACTGATATTTTTCCATTGTTGTTGTCAGTGTTTAAGTACCAGAAGGGTTCGGACTCGGTGTTGGAGGTGAACAAGGAGGATTACGACAAGTGTAATACTAAGAACCCTATCAAGAAGTTCGATGATGGTAATTCGCAGTTCACGTTTGATCGATCTGGACCTTTCTACTTTATCAGCGGACAAGATGGGAATTGTGAGAAGGGTCAGAAGTTGACGATTGTTGTCTTGGCTGTCCGGTCATCATCACCACCGGGAAAGCCATCGCCTACTCCTCCGGCAGCTCCTTCTCCTGGTGGAGTCATCCCTGTACCTCCAGGCTCTCCGGTGACGACGCCTACCGTTCCCTCCCCGTCCGGTAACCCTCCGCCGTTCGCCCCGGGAACTCCGTCGCCCGGAAGTTCTCCCAAAGCTCCATCCACATCGCCCTCTCCACCATCTCCGGCACCGGGAGGCTCTATTAGAACGCCATCTCCTGGGAACAGTCCTCCGGTGGGTAATTCTCCATCCACGACACCATCCTCACCACCTATGGCGCCGGGCAATGCCCCTGGACATTCACCTCCAATGGGTAATTCCCCATCCATGACACCGAACCCACCACCTATGGCTCCTGGAGGATCTCCGAAGGGAGCGTCGCCTCCAATGGGTAATGCTCCATCCATGACACCAAACCCACCATCTATGGCTCCGGGAGGATCTCCGAAGGGAGCGTCGCCTCCAATGGGTAATGCTCCATCCATGACGCCAAACCCACCATCTATGGCTCCGGGAGGATCTCCGACGGGAGCGTCGCCTCCAATGGGTAATGCTCCATCCATGACACCAAACCCACCATCTATGGCTCCCGGAGGATCTCCGACAGCAGCGTCTCCAATGGGCAGTCCTCCGATGGTTTCACCGGGGATGTCTCCATCAGCATCATCTCCAGCTACTTCACCAGCATCATCGTCACCTATGGGATCCCCACCGGGATCTACAGGAACCACTCCATCAGGTGCACCGGGGGCGGGCCCAGCAGGAGGTCCTATGGCACCCGCAGCGTCCAACGAGACGACGCCGGCTCCATCATCGGCATGGGCTGAAAAAGCTCCGAACTTGTCGGGGTATGCAGTTACTATTATGGTCGGTGCTGGGCTCATTGCCATTTTTGGTGCTTAGTGGGGAAAAAAAACACTAAAAAACATTTAAAATTATTTAGCGGAGAGTTGTGTGTGGGAAGGATTTATTAGGAGTTAAATTCTTTGACCCTTTATTATCATTGTTACTTACTTGTGTATTTAATTTTTCTCGTATGATTCTGTGATTAGTTGCTGTTGTTATTATTTGGACATAAGAGATCTCATCTCGTACTTTTATACATCCGCATGTATGTGTTTCAGTTCAGTATTTGTGACTTCTTGGATCCTCTGATTCTATGTTTGATTGTTTGGTGCTCACCTTATCCTCCGGTAATTCAATTTTAAAATCCCCGTTGAAATTTACTGGTGCCTGTAGAAGAAAAGGCTGCACTAATTTTTAGACAATTATAAATAAATTATAGTTAGGGTTTAGATTTTTAATGACTTGTAATGTATCTCGTGTCCATGTACACTGATGATAACGGGATCACACCGACATTGATGGTTTTTTTTCCCTCAATTCTTTCTTTTTTCTGAATGGGGGCTGAAAAACTCAGTTTGTTCCTTTCTGCTACCAATTCACCCAAATGATATAATATTAATTAAATTAATTAATATGATATGTTTTTTAAAATATTTTAATCATTTTTTAAATTTTTTTCCCTGTCTCTTAAGTGATTGGTTGATAAACATATCAAATGAGTTTTATATTGGGATTAATATCAATTTTTAAATTAGGTTATGCCGGATGAATATTAGATAATTTGTTGGGAGAGGAAACAGAAGAGTAGAGATTCATATTTAGAATCTTTTTATTCCGACAGAAACAAACCTCTTTATAATTCGACCCCATTGCCATGCAATCATATTGGTCATGGAAGACTTTGCCGTTAACATCGTTTGCAAGAAAAACATATAACAATTTTAATTATAAAGACATATTAGTAGTTTGAGATTGGCGGGTGGAAAATTTTGTCACGCTAGCCAAGCCTGTTTCTAAATAATGGATATGCGGATTTAAAAAGAAAATTGGCATTTTCGAACCAAAAATTATGTTTTTTTTTTTCTCTATCTGTCTCAAAATTATTATTGTTGTGTCTTACATAATTACTGAGTTGATTTTGATTTTAAATATAAAACTTATTTTGTATATTTATTAATTTTTTTAAATTATCTCTATCAATACTCCTTTAACTATAATCGAGTAGAAGAGAAAAGGAAGATATTAAAGAAAAAAATTACGGTGTCTTAGAAAAAACATGTCATATTTTTTATAGTTAACTTGCTTACGTAACTTCTTTAATCTAATCAAATTAGTTAGATATCTTATATTAAGAAGTAAGGAATATTTAATTTGTTTCCAAGATTAGTTGTCACATTTCATATCCAATAGAAAGTTCAGCCATTATTATAAGTAGTGATAGAAAGGTCAGCCATTTCATATCTATGACTATTTGTACTATTATTTGTTACTAGAACTTTTCACAAATTATTTGGTTGCATATTTAGTTTCCCGCATCGCAAATTGATACGTGTTACAATCATAATGAATTTTTAAGAAAAAAAATATTATTTTTAGTTCTAATTATAAGATCTTATTTATAAACTATAATAATGTCTTATAATTAGAATAGGAGGTAGTAATTACTAACAAGTCTTAATAAGAAATAAGTAATTATTTTATTATTTTAAAGTTTGTCATTGACTATTACTCTGTTTTTAATAATTATATTTTTTTTATTAATTAAGATTTCATAACAATTCTCTTATTATACGTTGGTCGGCTCCCCAGCGATATTTTTCACAAGTGTACGTATGAAATTTGAGGTAAACCATTTCATCAATTATCAATTATTTCAGTAAAATATGACTTTTTTTTTTGTAATAAATTTATACAAGAATACTATATTAATTAGATGTGAAGGTGTGGTCCCAATGCCGGACACGGGAAAGGACGGGTGGGTCCTGAATTTGGACCGCATGAGATCTTTAGCTCTTGGCGTCAATATTGGTATCGTCTTTTCATTTTCTGAAACCTCCAGAGGCTCATCATAGCTAAGTTATTTCTCATCGTGGTAAAAAAAAAAAAAAACATAAATAGCCCAAAAAAAAAATCGCTTTATCTACGCAAGAAAGTCAGAAACTAGAGAGCATCTTTTGTTAATGATGTAACCTTTTTTAAAAGTCGCAAACGTACAGTGTTCAAAATTTCATTGATGAGTTGTACTAGACTGCTAGTGATTGATATTCACCCGTCTTTAAAAAATAAATAAATAACAATATACAGTCTTTATATTACAATATTATTATGAAGTAGGAATAATGAAAAATACATACTAATAATTGAATGAATAATTTAGAGGTTGTCGGATTAATTAATACTGGCGAAGTGAAATCCAGGAAGATGGAATTATTTAACGATCGAATGAAAGCAGCTTCCATTTTATGTCGACAATGATATGCTCCTGCCTCCCCATTATGAAAGCGACACAATTTTAAAGTTATAAGATTTTAATTTATTTTGTTTTTATATTTATTTAGTTTTTTTAAAGTAGTTGTTATAATAGTTATATATGTTAAATGTTTCATTAAATAATAATTCTAGTTAATACAAATAATTAGTAAGAGTATTATAAGAAAAAAAATATATTTATTATAAATAACTAACTTAGTTAATTTTTTTAATCTTTTAAAATTAATTAATTAGATTTTATATTAAAAATTGATAGTATTATTAATATAATGATCACCAAAAAAGTCATGTATAATATATATATTTTATTTTTATTGAAGAGTCATTAATGCTTATTTATGAATTTTGTTCCTATAATTAGCATTTAAACAGACTCTTCGTATATTGTTTTTTTCCCGAAACTCATTAACAGAAAGTAAAATTGAACTTTTTCTTAAAAGCCTTATAATTTGTTCCACGTGTCACTAGATAATCAGCCGTCCGGACCCCCAATCATTAAAGTGTGACCTTACACAATCATTCCACGTGTACTGTAAATAAATAAGTAATGCTCATATTTCCACTTTATTTTTTCCCATTAAAGACTAATGAGAGGACAAGGGGGTGTTTGGTAAAACCAAAACCATGGTTTTAAATCACTTTTCGCAAAACGAGGTAACCTCCTCCACATATTTACTTTGTAATCCGTAAAAGCACTTCTGAAATCATGGTTTGGTTTCTATCCAAACACCCTTAAAATCTTGAGTAAGAGGATAAAATCATTTAATATGAATAATAATAATAAACCATTTTCACTATTTTTTTTTTGCAGTAAAATAATTTGCATTGCCCAACTTTTAATAGCTGGAAATTTCCGGCACCCAATCAATACTAATCGCTCCAAAGTCATGATTACAGGCAATACGACAAGATCATGATCATTTTTTTTCCACTTGTAAATTTTTCAGATATGTTAATTTTCAATTTATAATTCCATAATTATCTCAAAGGAATTAATTCATCATTATTGGATAATTCCTTCATTTTCATCCCTATCCATATCCAGAGTTAACTATAAAAGCCGACAAATTACAGTAGGAGGTGTTGATAATTCAGTAATTTTAGGCTTAAATATTTATTTCATCATGTACTAAATTTTAATTTTTTCCCATGTGAATTAGTTTTAGAAAAAAAATAACAAAAAAACACCTGCTGAATTTTAAAATAAAAAATAAGTAATTTTAGCATATGAGAACCTTTACAAGAATAGCCAATACATGTCTAAGAATAGTCAACACCGTTTGAAATTTAATAGATGTTTTATGATATTTTTTTCTTAATTTTATAAAGAAAGACAATGAGAAAATAAAATTACAGAAACTAAGTTGGGGAGTGTCTGGTATAATAAAGGAAAGAAGATAAGAGAACAGCACATCCACACATATATTTATCATTTGACACGGGATTCTCATGAACATCGACCACGACATTGTGCGTTAAAAAACATCATTTTAATGTCAAATGCTAGTACTTTTTATGATAATGATGATTTAAAAATATCTAAATAAATTGAAATATGAGAATTTTTTTTCTGAATTATTAGGATTGGCACCGACAAAGAGTTGATTTAACGGCATAAAATCCCACTAAATTCTTTTGGATGTCGAATTCAAATTTCAGAAAGAGATACTCAAATTCAAGTTTAAGAAGAGGCACCTTTATAGGCAGAAAAAGTCACAAATCTTGAACCGAATTAACCAGATCATAATATTTAAAAAACAAAAAAAGGACCGGCTTGAGACTTTCACATCTTATTCCATACAGTATCTTGAATAGAATTGCTTTAATAAGAGGATACGTATGTTTTAAGGGGGAAAAAAATTGTGATGAGACTATTACATTTATAATTTTTTTGGATAAAGTATTGGCAACTCATCTTCCCTCGCGGACTCAACTATCATTAAAACATCATATTTTATAAAGCATGCCTCATAGTTTATACCGGAGTTACTCCCTCGGCTCCTTTCCATAAGAGATAATAACAGATAGTAACTTTTAGCTATAGTTTTTCTTACTTAGATATTTTCTCCAATCTCTTTTGCACTAAGTTTCTATTTTTCTTTTATTTAATATTTCTTTTCAACCCCTACTTATGTTAATATTAGAGCATATTTTACATAATTTAAATCAATTTGTTTATCAACATAATTTGGTCAACTCTTATAAAAAGTAAGGAGGGAGCATCTATTAAATGAAATCACAAACGGGTCTGCTGATAAGATCAGAAAAGGAACGCTGAGCGCAGACCCGTACCCTAATCTTCAATGGTGCCTCCGAAACAGTTGATGGTACCTTTCTTCTGAATTATTGAGACAGAGGATCGCGGTCATGTCGTTTTCAATCACTGTGAATAAGTGAGAACGCATTAAACTCCTTCATTGTCGGCAATGGATCGGGCCTCGTCACTTTTCAACACTTGGAGGCCGAAGCTCACTGAAGAGATCAACAAGACGTTATTTCAACCGACAACCACCCTGATATTATCACCTTCACTGAAATCTCAGAAATTAATGTTATTCTTAAAAACACACACAAATCGTTTAAAAGTCAAGATTACAAAGATTTCGGAAGCTTTATGTAACCTATCATCCATTTCAACAGTACTTCAGGGTGTGAAAGGTTTGCTCTTGAAACTTTTCTTAACCAGACAAAAATTCTTCTGACTTTGCTCATAGTCCTTAGATCCTCACCACGTTAAAACGGGTTAAGCAGGTTACTTTTCATTTACTGTCTTCCACTTCAAACTGGAAAACAAAATATTGGTGAACACGCACAACGAACTATTCTTCCTATAAGTGACTCTAATGGTTGATCAAGTGAATTTGAATTGGAAAAAAGTCAATAATCCCGTGATACGTGTAGCTTTGGGAGCACGGTGGTTCATGATACTTGTCACGCTATGCAGCAACCTGTTTCTCTGTTCAGAAATGCTAACATTTCTTCCGTTACGGCTCAAAACAACTTCTCAGTATAAATCCATAACTATAAGATCACAGGCACTGTATTAAGACTTACACCAATGAAAAATGACCAAATCCTTAGGTGGGCAGGATTTGAATGAACAACTGACTAAGGAAAACCATAAACACGTTTGTCAAAAGAAGAACCACCTTCGTTGTCGACGGCGCCTCTGCAACAATAACATGCATATTTTATAGGCAGTCAAAACATGGTCTTATTGAGGATAAAAATGTAGCATCGGGCATGTTACAATATTAGTTATCAAAAGCGCGATCTTTATTTTTGTACAAGGATTTCTGAGATCCTAATCACATAAACATGTCAAATGATACTAGCCATTGTCCAGGGATTTTTTAAGCAATTTCATTTGCACGTTAACCTAAATTTAGAGGCCTTATGCTCGTATTCAAATGTAGCCTATTCATAAACTTAAGCCTTCTCAGAAGTTTTAGCAACCTGTCAACACATACTTATAGTGCATGAGAAGATGTGAACCAGACTAATACTACACCGAAACTAATATGACTTTGTTCATAATGCTTCTTATTTCATTTTCTTTTATTCAAAAAGCAAGACTTTAGAGAGAAGGGAAAATTCAAAAAAGTTGAGTCTGGAAGAGGGTAATAAAAGAAAGAAGAAGGGGAGGGGGAGATTGGCGATACCTTCTTATCCTCAGTTTGTTGTTGCAACAATATAGGCTGGGAAAGGACTGCGTTGTCCATATTTTGAATGTATGGCCGCACCTTTTGCTCCAGCATCTCGTTCACCTGTGGACCGAATCAAGCATCAGTAACAAGCACCAAAGATGTGTTAGCATGGAGGTATAGAATAACAGGGAAGGAAGAATATTGTCCAATTTAAAAAGTTTGTAATGTTACAAGAGACTGATTCCTAAAGCAACTTCTTGAAGTGGTGTAAGTGCATAGAACTCCGTAAACCACCGACAAACTAAGTAGTTGGCAATGTCAAATCAGAAGCAACTCAAGAATACCGTCATGAATTGTGTAAGCCACAAACAGCAGAAACAAAGAGGAATACTCCCGAACAAGGAAGACAGAAGCTTGCTGTTGGACATAGATTCAACACAAACACAAACAGGATGAATGAGACAAAGATCACTAACCTTATCTTGTCGCCACTTAGTCTCCCATTGCGCATCCAAGATTTTATCAGCAATTTCTCTTTGAGCATTTAGGAGAACAGTCATTTCATAGAACTTCTGAGGATCTTTGAGATCCTCCTCGCTCCAAGAGGATGCATTCAATGGAAGGTCCAGCTCCTGCCAAAGCTCTGCAATTAGTTACATTTCACTCCAGAGCAGATAATATTCTATACTTGTTTTCTTGTTCGAGTATATAACACAAATAAATGTACAACTAAATGAAATGAAAAGTGAGCATTCTAGAAAGAATGATCGATGATTACTGCTAAGCTTAAGCTTAAAGACCAAAGAAATCTGGAATGTGAAAATCTTGCCAGTTTATCCTATGCAGGAGGTCTGACAGGTATGCTCTAAAAAGGATTAAACTAGCATATTGGCAGGAAAGAAGTGGATACGCACACCCCAAGCTGGAGGTCTTGGTGGAGGATCAAGCTTCATAACCTCTGCTTCTAGGGCCTTCTTAGCCTTATAGTGGGGAACACTCTTCACTATAACAGGATCATCCCTTGCACGCTCAGGGTCTATAGATTTCAAGGCCTGAAATTACAATATGATTTCAAATTAAAAAAAGCCCTGCAAAATTTGATTAATAGGAAGACAGATAATTAGCGACCTGAAAAAAATTGATATTTCATAACTTTATACATTCTTTCACCTTGTCTATAGACGCTGTTATAAGAAACAATCTTTAGAAGAAGAATTTGAAACTTACTTCCTGCAGATATTCCCACCCAGGTTTCCGTTTGGCCACTACATCTCGGAGCTGATCATATCGCATGGATTCCTAGGTCCACCCGCAGAAGGAAGAAAATTATATTGAGAATGGTAAATGGAAATATAAAATTGAAAGAAAAAAAATTGTACAAATGAGATAGAGAATGCTAAGTTAAAATACAAGACACCATATCAACTCTTGCAAAGCTTGATCACATAACTGTTGTCAACAGCAAACAGAACATGGAAAGGAACACAACCAATCATATAGCCAAAGGTATAACAAGCCTCCTGACATTTTCAATTTTGTCCTATGCCTTGCAGAGCACAGAATTCAACCCAAAGAATAACTTTTACGTGATTTTAACTTTTACAAGCTGTCATTCACAAATTTTCACTAATCATTTTCAATTCTTTCATGCTGATTCTCATTGCATCATCACCACAGGCACAACCGTAAAGAGATGCTGCCTTGATCATGAGACCTTATCGGCTAGAAGAGATTTAAAAAACTGGGGCCTTCACACCCTCAAATCAAAGCACATTATCTTGTATGTACACTAGCACATACTGGCACAGCCTTAAGGTTACTGAGGAATGAATCCAATGAATCCAAAAAATATAAGAAATAAGGATATGCAAGTAGCGAAAGAAAAAGCATATTTAAAGACCCAAGAAGGACATAAATGAATAGATGGATAATTGAACTCAATGTAAAACAATGGGAGGGAAATGAACCAACAACCTTGTACTGCCACCAGATTTTCTGCTTCACCTCATCATCATAGTTAAATCCACCCATAATCTGAGGAAAGGTAATAAGCCAAAATGCAGCAATACTGGGATCTTTCATACTGTGTACAATGTGCTGAAAACCCAAAAAGATTGATGTTACAAATTCAAATATGAATGAGATGAGAAGCCTCGATTTGCAGGCAGAGAGAGGTGTATATTACATGGAAAGATGTGAGAACACGCACTACTATGGGTGACAGAGTAAGGAGAGTATAGCATCGATGCAAATTGGAAAATGTTCCACGCCACATCCTCTTTGTCAATATCACAACTAAACAACTTGTTGTTGAATATTTCTTGATGCAAATACTTATTACAATCCAATATTAGGTTAAAAAGAAAGCCTGATCATTCAAACCTGAATTACTATGATAACCTACCCCAGTGTTATGGCCGGTAGAATCAATGTATGGTAAGGGTGTGGTAACCCATGTTTGACGTAGAGTGAGATAAATAATATGGGCAAAGTATTCCCTTGTGTGAGAAAAACATTAGAAAGCAACAGATTGTAGTGCGTACAACTGTAAAGCTCAGACTTGTTGAATTTTCTACAACTCAATCTCGGTCTCTTTTATTTTAGCCCTCTTCGTCTTGTTTATAGTATCTGCTCGTCTTTTCTATCTTGAGGATTTTCTTCTTGCACTCTAATTGTCTCCTTTTATTAAGCCCTCACCGACTCTCTCTCTCTCTCTCTCTCTCTCTCTCTCAATTGAGGCCTACATCTTAAACATGTTAATGGGTTTTCAAAGTTCCTCGTCTTGCAAATTGTTGAGTAAAATTTTATTTACAATATATAAGGGGACAAACATAAATAATGGCAAGGTAGGAGGGAATACAATCAAACAGCTAATGTAGCCGCCCACAAATTTGGAGTTTAAGGCTGAATTAGGTCTTATATTTATAGCTATTCATATCACACAATATATTAATAATATTGCATTACTTCAGAAGTAGATGTTACATGAATTATGAAACTGACCTCATAGGGATATTCCATCCTTCTCAACACATTATAGGCTGTCCACGGGGGCTCCATGATCTACACAAAGAAAGGAATTATAGAAACACTGAGAATATAAAAATTAACAATGACATAGAACAAAGAACCTAGCAGCTTTAAATCAACAAATAACTCACATCATCCGCAGAGATCCTAATTTGTAATTTGTGTTTGCATTCTGGACAGCTCATTACTCCCTGTATCAGCAAATTTGACACTTGAAAATTGAAGGATTACATTGCAACTGTTTAAGCTGTCTAAGGACGCAAGCCTGTGTCTACACATCAATGTAAGAGTAGATGTTCCAATGTAGTTATTACTCACTAAACTGTCAATCACTCACTCATCTCTCTCTGATGAGGGATGGGGTAAAGAGGATAATTATTCTTCCGAGAAGTAGCTCTTAATAACAATTTAAAAAAAAAAAAAAAAACCTCAGTTTACTTATGAAGTACTGCAGATTTAATTAGAATGAATGAGTCAACCAAATATGTCCACAACATAGCTGCCTGAAAACCCAGTTCTTACCGTTCCATCACATGAGGGACAGTCTTTTGATGGTAATGGTGTTGTGAAACCCAACGAGGATGGCAGATGCACTAACTCGGCCCGATTATCAGCAATGGCATCTGCTACAGATTCAGCAGTTGGTTTCTCCCCACTATTTAAGAACACATGGAAAAAGGGCAACAGGTAAAGAGCCACATGAAATCATGTAAGATCTAAGAGTTCAAAACAATACTGAAGCCAATGAGAATGCAAATACTGGTAAAACGATTATAGAAAAATTTAAACCCTCAAGCTAACTGCCATCATCTAAGATGAAGGTAACTAAAATAGCAGAGGATCAATGAAAAGATGAAGAAACAGTATTAGATTTACCCCAAGTTGAACCATAGACGTTCAATATTGGTATTCCTCCTAATTACTAAAATTCAATTGTTTTTTATATAGTACTATATTTTAATTCTTATTCTGTTCTAGCTGCAGTTGCGCATCCTCATAATTCCTGTACCCTTATCATAAGTATAAGATTGAAGTACTATGAATTAATACTGATGTCACCGGCAACCTCTCCAAATGGACATAGAGAGGGAATTTACCTCTTCAATTTGTAATTTTTAACTTGATAATGCACCATTCCAGTTCCTCGGCACATTGTACACCGCAAGGCTTGCCATCCATTGCATGTTCGACAATTCCTGCCGTCAAACGTTGAGTTACAAATTAACCAACCTTGATTTCAATACACAAGTTATTTCATGGCGAGTGCTCCAGCATCACAGACAATTTCAGAGAAAAGTTAGATGCATAATGTAGTCAGAAACTTCTGAAGTAGAATAAAACGCTGAAATGAGAAAACTGTCGAGGGATACCAAGATGTACCTTTGGCATATCACCTTTCTGCCCATCTCTAATGCAATGTCATAAGTCCCCAAGGTTGCAATAGCCTACAATGAAACCATGCAGCAAACATTGATTAATCTTCTTTCAAGGAAAACAATTATTAAACCAAATAATTAATAAGGAGCTGTTTCAAACGATACGGTTCCCACGAATAACAAAATGAAATCCCACTGACCATAATTTAAGTTAAAAAAATGATTCCCACCATCTAATATAGAGAAGTTGAATATTTATCAACTTTGTCTCAAATACTCAAGATGATGAAAAAGGAATTCGCAGATGAAGATACATGGACAAGTCAAACTACACAAGAAGATAAACGACCCCGAGTCAAAATCAACTAATTCTGAAGAATTTATAAAAGTTGGTAAATTTCAGAAAAACTTGAAGACTGAAGACGAATATGTAGTGATGACAAAATAACATCGAAAGCTTCAGGATTTTAATAGAATAGCAGTGCTCTTAGCTGAAATAAACTAAATGCAGAGAAAGAGCATACGAAGACGGAAGCATATGAAAGCTTAGAGATAAGCTCAGGAACACCGAAGCCACGAGGAGCAGAGCCGGCAATGTCGAAAGCCAGAGTGAAAGGAGACAAAACGAGCTTAATAGGGAACTCAAAAATGTCAATGAGCTGCTGGCCATAACGAGTCGAAAAAACCTTGTACCGAACCCCGATGAACTGTTGAACACTCTTCACCAGACGGTCTGTCCCTCTCGACATGGCTGTCGAATTGCTTCAGACGGAGTGTGCACTACCCGGAGAGGATAAAGTTAGCGGGCATCCTTGCCGCGGTTGGCCGGTTACAGTTTAAAGCTTCGAACTTTAGCCCGAAGAAGAATAGCGTTCGAGGAAATAAAATGCTCCTGTGGCCAAACAGACGTCTCGCTCCTTAATGGGCCATGAAATGGCGCCAGTGTTGGCCCATAATTTACTAGTATCAAGCCCAATTTCGTTGTGATTAGAGCCCATAGACCTAAATAAGATCCATTCTAAATCCCAAGCACAATCCAAACCATTTTTTTGGGTGGCAAAAATCCAACCATCTTATATGGTGTCACCGTGGACCACGCGATGCAATTACGTAAGCCCTTGTTTTTAAACAATTACCCAAGTCTTTTATGAACGCCAAAACAAAAGAAAAAAATGAACCAAGTCAATGTAATAATTTATCCAGAAAAAAAAAAAAAAAGTGAACGGATCAGCTCAAGTGATAAAATCCTGGGGCTCCCCCAAAGTTGAGAAGGCATACATTCGTTGCACTTGCGTACGTGGTCGGTGTCGGGTCAAACTTACACCCCTTTCGCCTGATTCGTTACTACAAGGAGGAGAGGGCGATGATTCTTTTTTTTTTTTTAAAAAAAAAAAGTAACTCATCTAACTAAATTTATTATGTAAATATATAATTTTATTCCTGATCCGTTGTTTTATAATATTATTTTTCGTTCTATTAAACGGGTTGGCATTAAAAAATTATTTAATTTAAATATAAGGTTAATAATGTTTTAAATTTAAATATAAGGTTATTTTCTCTATATAACTGAACAATGAACCTGCCCATCATTTGACTCCACATCACATGAATCATGCCACAACATGTAAGTTTCTCATGCTGAAGTAATTCGAGGGACAAATCATAGAATTTTCCCCTGAATAAATGTATTTTTTTTATCAGCCTAATTATAAGATGTTGTTAAACTAGCACTTGATTATTTTTTTTAATAAATTAGAGTCAGGTTATTTTCTCGGGTGCACAGTAAATCCCACATTAATTCCAAAAACAGCATGCAGATTTCCTAAACAAATTAATTATGGAGCCGCATAATTCTCCACACGCACCCAATCAGTATGCATCTCGATACCAGAAAACAAGAACCACATTAAATCACAAATTTTATTGATTACCACTACTAATTACTGCACTGATATTTATCCCAACGCACTTTTTGTTTTCGTAGATAGCCTCCATAGTAAGCTCAGTTCGGCAAATTTACTGTCTTCTCCTTCGCTTTCTTTCTCCGTGGATTCGCTGTGTCTCACAAAAGAATCCATGGCAGCAATGGCAGAAGCTCCTGCGGTGGCTCTGAACGGAGGCAAGTTAGAGACGACGTCGCAGGCGTACCTGGAAGGCAAGGCTGTGAAGGAGACCAGAGCTTTGATTTCTGAACTCTGTCGCCACTTCTACAATCTGGGATGGGTCTCTGGCACCGGTGGCAGCATCACTGTCAAGGTCCACGATGATTCTGTTCCTAAATCTCAGCAGCTTATAATCATGTCCCCTTCAGGTATTAATCAATCCTTCGATTTTCTTCTGGCTTTTATCATTTCTGGTGTGCGTTGTTTGTGATTGATGATATACGTGTGATGTTATATTCTGTTGATCTCTGAGTATGCATATGCCAGCTCAAGTTTGAATCTTCTGATACTCCTAGTCTGTTTTTGGGACGATTGGTTTCTGGATTTATTCAATTCATGGTCGATGATCCGGAACATGGGCCAGCCTATTTTGATACTTCTATCAGTTTATATTGTATCACTATGCCCGATAACGGTACTTGCGTTTCAGTTTGGGGTTCAGTTCTCAGTGAATCGGTCAGCGTAGTTTTAGTAATGAAGATAGGTTCTTGAGCAAATGGTGTTGAAATTCTAGCTATTTAACGTGGCTTTCTTTTTCTTTTCTTTTCTGATTCGTGCAGGTGTCCAGAAGGAAAGAATGGAACCAGAGGATATGTACGTGTTGTCCCAGGATGGATCGGTCTTGTCTGCACCTTCTCCTAAGCCTTACCCTCATAAACCTCCGAAATGTTCTGACTGTGGTCCACTCTTCATGAAGGTAAAATTAGTTTGCTTTTTATTGATCTCTGGCAGAGGTGGAATTAGTATGCTTTGAAGATTTTGAATGAAGTGATGGTAAATCAGTTATATTAGACTTATTATTGAAGTGCCCTTGTTTATATCGTCCTGCAATTTCTTTCTTTCCAGGCATACCAAATGCGTGATGCTGGGGCTGTCATTCATAGTCATGGGATAGAATCTTGTCTTGTAACAATGATCAATCCCCTATCAAAAGAATTTCGAGTAAGTGTTGTCTTGAGATTAAAGAAGCGGGTTCAATATCATGGTTTGCATGTTTGTAATCTTTAGATCTCTGACTGATGTTTGCGATCAAATCCAAATATTAAGGATAGAAGGGAGTGATTGAGATTGGTATTGGATATAAGATAGTTTGTGACTTTGTGAACATCAAGTAGAGGCCATGCAAAAATGTAAGTATATGTTAATCATTTTAAATATTTTTATTGTTTTTTTTTGGGGGGGGGGGGGGAGGCTATCAGATAATTTGCAAAGTGTTAGATGCCTATAACGTTTTCTTATGACATCAGATTGAGCTGTTCACTATAGGATCTCGGAATTGAATGAGACATCATGGTTGCATTTTTGCTGAACTTATATTCTCATGCCTCTTGTTAATGATGAGAAAATCCAAAGATAAACGTAAAAAACTGGGATTTCTGAATCGGATGATAAAAAAGCCATTTTGACCCGTGGCAATAAATTGTTCAAGTTGAATTGACTTTTGCAGGGGAGTCATTATTAAGTTGTAGATATTAAATGTATCTGATGTTATAATTGTGTGTGGCTCCCTACCCAGCTCCTTATATATAACTGTGCTAATAGATTAATTATGCTGTCTTCATAAAGTGAACTAACTTTTTTAATGGTGCCAAGCCTCTTCTTCACATCCTTGTAATTTTCCCCCCCTTTTTAGCAATTTTCTTGTGCTGTTATAGCTTATTATATTTTCAGTTTAATGATTTTTTTTTTTTGGAAGTGATTAAAGTTTCTCTTTTATGTTGGACCTCTTTCCTATGCTTATATTTTCTCATTCTACAAGACATCATATAGTCATGCTTGTTCCCACAAATTGCAGATCACTCACATGGAAATGATAAAAGGAATCAAGGGGCATGGCTATTATGATGAACTTGTGATCCCGATTATAGAGAACACAGCCTATGAATATGAGCTTACAGAATCTCTTGCGAAAGCTGTATGTTTCTAGTTTTCTTATGAAAGTTAAGTCAGCTTTTAGATTGTACGGTCTTTTATTGTATTTGATATGGCTTGCTGAGATAACCTAAACTTCCAATTTTTAGATTGAAGCCTACCCAAAAACCACAGCTGTGCTTGTTCGTAACCATGGGATATATGTTTGGGGAGACTCGTGGATCAATGCTAAAACTCAGGTTTGCATTTTCCACAATAACTTTGAAGGAAAGCAAAGTTTGTTATTACAACTTTTATTTGAACTTTATGCTTATCATTTCCTGAAGAAATGATACTCTCCTGAGGACAATGCCTGGCTCTCTATGTCATTTGAGTAGTTTATTCAACATGCTTCGTGATAAATTGATTATTTTTTTCTTTCAGTCTGAGTGTTACCATTACCTCTTTGATGCTGCTCTCAAGCTTCACCAGATGGGATTGGACTGGTCTACTCCAGATCATGGTCCAATCCAAAGTGTTAGAAGTGATCGAAGGATTTATTCAGAGTCAGATGTGTCAGTTAAGGCAAGGAAAGCTAATGGGGAATTTAATTTGCTCCCAGTGAGTTATCATAACCCTCCTCAGTCCCCTCTGTTTAAATCCTTAGAACTTAAAAACTTAGGTTATCGTTAGTATTATTTCCTTAAAATTACGGAAACAAACTTCTAATTCTCTTCCGTCTGGAAGTGCTAATGGACAATTCCGACAATATTTACATTTCATACATGTAATGTGCCCCATCGCTGTAAACTAGATTGTAATTATTCATCTATCTGGATTGCAGCGTTGCATTGTTCTTGACATTGAAGGGACTACTACTCCCATATCATTTGTTTCTGAGGTTCTCTTCCCTTATGCCCGTGACAATGTTAGGAGGCATCTATCTGCTACATATGATGCCCCCGAGACCCAAGATGATATTAAATTACTTCGGTCCCAGGTAAAATTTATAGATCTGTAATGCTATAGTATTCTAATTCTGTGATGGGAACATGTGGGGTAGGCATTGAACCGTAATACCATTGTGTGGAGTGTTGAGCTTTTACTGGCGGAACTGAACTTGATTCTGGAAAGAATCGGCCAGAAAGAAAACTTAAATGTATGAAAGGGAAGTGTGAAGCCCGGGACTAGCCCTCCTTCCCTGACTCTTGAGTCTCAAACAAAGGGTAATGAAATTTATTTTTAATTGAAAACTAGAGAATTGTATGTGTACGTTATATTCATAAAATTTAAAATACTGATTATTATAATTTCAGGTTCAAAGTGACCTGGAACAAGGGGTTGCGGGTGCTGTCCCTATCCCACCTGATGATGCTGGGAAGGAGGAGGTAATTACTGCTTTGGTCGCAAATGTAGAAGCTATGATTAAAGCTGATAGAAAGATCACTGCCTTGAAAGAGTTGCAGGTATCATTATTAAATTCAACATATTTATGTGGTTTTTTGGGTTCTCATGGACGATAGCTGACATTTAGCCATTCAGGGTCATATATGGCGAACTGGTTATGAGAATAATGAATTGAAGGGAATCGTTTTTGATGATGTACCAAAAGCTTTGGAAAAGTGGCATGACTTGGGCATAAAGGTTTACATCTAACTTATTCTTGTGGCTGTAACTTTTTTCTGTTTACCCTAATTTTCATGCAGCTATTGCTGATATTTCAATTGCTATTTCTGATCAATACAACAGGTATACATATATTCTAGTGGTAGCAGGTTGGCACAAAGGCTTATATTTGGAAACACAAACTTTGGGGACCTAAGAAAATATTTATCTGGATTTTTTGACACCACAGTGGGGTAATGTTCAACTTCTTGTTGCCTCTGGACAATTCTTGTTTAAAATTACCTCCTTTCATGCTGAAGTCTTTTTCCCCACTCAGGAACAAAAGAGAGGCATGCAGTTACTCTGAAATCTCTGCATCTCTTGGTGTTGATAAACCATCCGATATTTTGTTTGTGACTGACGTTTATCAAGAAGCTACGGCTGCAAAGGCAGCAGGTACTTGCTTTACTTTCAGGCTTATATAATATAGGATCTGATTGTTAAGTTAATTTTAGTCCTAAATATAGGACCTATTTCTCATATTTATCAGTTTTTCCTAAATTACCTCTATGGATACTCCCTTAACTATAATTAAGTAGAAGAGGAAAAGGAGATGTTAAGAAAGATGATTTTGGTGTTTTAGGAAAAAAACATGTCATACTCCTCCGGTCCTTAATATAAGATCCATTTAATTAATTTGATTAGATTAAGAAAGTTAAGTAAGTTAGTTAATTATAAAAATAGTGACACATTTTTCCTAAAACACCATAATCATCTTTCTTAATACCTCCTCTCCTTTTTCTACTTGATTATAGTTGAGGAAGTATCTATAGAGGTAATTTAAAAAAAATTGATAAATATAAGGAATGAGTCTTATATTTAGGACCAAAACTAATTCAAGAATTGATTTTTATATTAAAGACCGGAGGAGTATTTCTTATAATTAACTAACTTACCTAACTTTCTTAATCTAATCAAATTAATTAAATAAGTCTTATATTAAGGACTGGAAGAGTATTTGTTTTCTTCCATAAGCCACTGCTTTTATCCCCACCTAATAGGCACGTCAAAAAGCCTAATCGTAGGGGTATAACGGTTGTGCATTAGTTGAACTCTTACTTAAAGCATCCAAATGTCTCTCATAAAAATCAAACTATAAGTGAATGAAAAAGTGGACCACTGGTTCCTATTACCTGCTAAGCATAGTTTATGCTATTTCAACATTCTGCATGAATTAAATGGTTTTGGAAGTGTGCCTATAAATGTCCGATAGATATCAAACTACGACAATCAATTAGTTTTTTCATTTACTTACTTAAAGCATAATATGAAGGGACCCGTTGGAATAGCAGAATTGCAGCAATGGCACTTTGTCTTTGCTTCTAGATATTTACCTTGATAGGGAAGAAGATCCATATTGTAAAAGTGAAATATATCAATTAATTTCCATATTATACAAGTGAAATATATCAAGTATTTAATGTATTAAAGTCTTTTCCACGACTCCAGTAATATATGCGGCCAAATAAGAACCTTTTCATTTGTCCTCTCACATTGATTCGGTTACAATCGTCCATATTTCAGGTTTGGAGGTGATAATTTCTATTCGGCCTGGAAATGGATCTCTTCCTGAAAATCATGGATTCAAGACTATCAACTCCTTCTTGGAGATCTGAGAGGAATCGCAATGCAACATTATGGATGTGGGTATTGTAATTTTGACACCTTTAAGGGAAATGTTGTTGTGAGATATTTGCTTAAATGGATGGTTTTCGTAGCTGACCTCGTCTTTATGATACTGTTGTAAAATCCAAGTTGGCTAAGGAAATAAATGATCAGAATTGTCAGTTTCACAATTCTTTCATGCCACATTACTAGGACAGAACTTTCATGATGCTTGTGAAGAATTCTTCCATAAATTTCTCACACTTCAGATGAATGCATATTTACCGAAAGAAGCTAACTAAAATAGGTCTCTATCAATTGTGGTGAGTTTCTATTGTATCTTTGCTGGAAGGAGCGCTTAATAATTTTCACGAGGGACCAAAATTTGTGTGAATGTCTAATCTCAATATAAAAATCGTTAGGCCAACTCTGGAGTTGACTTCTGTCATGAAAATTGTAGAGATCAAGTGAGTGCGAACGACTTCGTTTTTCTTCGGGAACCTGAAATAATAAATAATGCTTGCTAGGTCTTCTTCCGCATTGATAGAGATAATTTAGGTAAAACAATATTTATTTATTATAAATAATTTATTTAACTAATTTTTTTAGTATTCGTAAGTTATTTATCTAGCAATCAGAAATAATATAATTATAAAAAATTTTAATAATAAGTAGTATGAACATGTTAATTTCTTGTGATGAAATTTGTCACTGGTTATTTATGAAATTTTTTATAGTTACATTCTTTTCCTCAAGACCTCGTAATAATTCTTCCGAAAACAATAAAAAAGAATCAGTATCATCTACGTTTAAGGAAAAATGAGAATTGTAGACCGTCTGAAAGAGTTGAAGACAATTAAAAATCACCAATATTTGAAATTTTAGAAAATGACTAAAATCTGTGACTGATTTTTTGATAAAACAAAGATTATGGATGAACAAAAGTGCCCTTCATTTCGTTGGCCGGTCGTGAGAGATAGATACTACCACACGCTACTAATATGTTCCTATTTTTCTACCAATCACACGAGAGTGATCTCAAGGTTCCCTCAGTGTGACGTTTCTCTACAGAGTGGTTGATATTTTAGCCCTTGATCCTGCTTGATTAGATGAGTTAGAAGATAAGATCCTTGGAGAAAGAGATATTTTTGAACTTCAGCTAGAATGCACTCTCTTACATCGTCCTTTAATTTTAAAACTTTCTCGTCCATCATATCTAACCTGGCCTCTTTTCAAACAACCTAATTAACTGCTATCTTTGTCATTAAAAAAATTGAAAAAGTGAAGAGAGAAACGTGTACTAAGTGAGGTCCAAGCTGCAGTAAAGAAACATTGCCGATTTTCAGTTCAATGCACCAACAATTGGGTCCAACCTAAAACCAATTTGTACCCTAAATGACAAAACAAAGTCCAAATGGGCCACACAAAAAGCAAAAGCCGAAGTCTTCACATTTTCTTACCTTTTGTTATTACCCTTTGCTTTCTCTTTCATTTTTTTTCTTTCCTTTTATCTTAACTTTTCTCTAATTATCATCATTCCAACCAAAAGTCCCACTACCCTCTTTTTTGCCTTCATCTTTAGCCTTTCGTCTCTTGTCATTTTGTCAATCTTCCTTGACTTGTTGCTTCTCCTCACAATCTCTAGACCAACCCCAAAATAAAAGAAAGATAATAAAGAAAAATGGCTGCTTTATTATCTTATATAGTTTGAATCAAAAACATTAATAATTGCTTTCGGGACCTTAATGTTACAGATTCAGCAACTAGCATGATTGCCTCCATTTATCCTTCTTTTTTCCTTCAATTAATTAAACTTTAATTCAAAATCCTTTGTCTCTTTCTCACTACCTGACCTTGTTAATTCACAGCAGTGATTCAATACCTCAATTATTCACTTTTCTTATTTTTCTTTCCATTTTCAGATATCTTTCCATCAGAAAAAAAGTTCCAAAATGTGATTTTCATGTAAATATCTTTCTTTTTGGAAAAAAGAAAGAAAAATATCATTTCAAATTCTGGATCAATATTTGCCAGGTATTATGAATTCAGATTCGATGATTCAAAAGAAATAAAAACAGAACATCTAATAAGAATACGAATATTGACACGGATATTATATGACATCATAGTATAATTGTGAATTATATTTGACACACAACATACAAATCAATCAAATATGAGGACAACCTTTTTTTTTGGGGGGGGGGGGGGGGTTGCGTAGAAAAATTACCATTCGCCAGACCCAGAAGCTGAAGGTGTTTGCTTTTATAAATTTGGGATTCAGGATTAGCAGTTGTCAAGTTGATACAGAAACGGGGGCTGCTTCCAAGTTGAGTGAGTCAGAGAAAAGGGAAAAAGAAATGATCAAATCAAATTTGGGTTTGAATAGCTTAGAAAACTAAATCTTCATAAAGAAATTTCAACAGCCAACCTCAAAGGAGAGTGACTTGTTCACCCTTCGTTTAACTTGACCCACCCACCTTCCTCTTCTTCACTTTTCTTCTGATGAGTCGAGTCTCTTTCTCTCTAATCTACGCCTTCTCTATAATGGTTGGTCTGAAACTAATGCTATGGTGGGTACAACACAAAACACAGACACTGACAGATGCGAACACAGTAAAAAGAACACTGATTGATTGCGATGATAATTATCATAGTAAGCTATGAAACTCGATCTATAATGGCCTACGATGTGTTGTTTCGTAGTAAGATATATATATATATATATATGAAAAGGTTCATGGAAGAAGAATATGAGAGAACTGTATCAATGGGTGTGAAACAAAGCAGGGCTTTTGCAATTTCATGGAATAAAAAGAAGCCAATTTTACAATTAGACCAAGCTCTATACCTCTTCCCCCTTTTTTTTTTCTGAGAATCATTCAAAAAAAACCCAATAATCTATGATCGGAATCAGCCATAACAACAATTAAAGCTCAAGAAGGGGACTCGGAGACTCTGGGAGAAGTGAGGGGGAAGAGAGGCAAAAGCTGTGGCTCTGAGTCTCTGGGGGTGGACATGGGCGAGGGATGTAGATAAAACCCTTTCTCAGCGATTGCCTTCTCCTCCTCCGACGAATTCCCGAGCGAAGGCGATGACTTGTCAAAAGGATCGTCGTTGAGCGGCGTGACGGGACTGAGCGTGAGCGACGGAAAATCAAGAATGCTCGGCGACAAGATCTCCGGCTTGCGAGGAGACGAAAACCCCGAACTATGAGCGTAATTAGGAACAAGAGTATTGATCATGAGACTATTCTTCAAACTGTTCCTCCTCTCGTAGAGCTTGAATCCCTGCTTCTTCGGGGCCGTTTTCACCGGAGGGATGTTGAAATTCTTGGCGGCGGAGGACGGCGGAGGAGGAGGAGGAGCAGAAGCAGGATCTTGAGATGGTGGGTGTGAAGAACCGGTGAGCATCTGAACGACTTGCTTGAAGGAAGAAGTGTCGGCCTGAACGAAGGTAGTGGGATAAGGATTGGAGTCAGATCTGGGAAAAGTGGGAGTGGTAGGGGTGAGAGGAGGCGTGGGAATCTGGGGAGCACCATTGGCGGTAGTGGAGCTGACATTGCTTCTGGGCGAATCCATAAAAGACTGATGATGATGGTCTCTGTCCACTGACTTGGACATGATCTCCATTGAAGGAATACGGCCTGAGATAGGAAGGTGGTAGCGCCGGAAAGTGCAGAGAAAATATGAACCGTGGCAGAGGCAAGTGATATTTATAGATAGAACCGGAGAAAAGCAGGGGCAAATGAGTAAATATGAAGAACTGTTGTTGGGTGGTGTAATGAGGAATTTGAGGGAATCTCTCTGTGGACACCACAGCACTAAGAAAGTCATCATAATGGGTTTTTTAAAATACATCAGTCCCTTTGACTTTGTTGAGACTCTTGTGTTGTTGTACTAATTGGATTGCTCCTTCTCATTTCCATATTGGGATTCCCATTCCATGATCTCTCTTTTCATGTTTGCCGCTGCTCTGTGTGTATATATATATACTGCAATCTGGTGAGCACGGATTTGAGAATTCTGCAGAACTTTTGTGCTGCAACTCCTCTGATCCAATGAATTCATATCATTATTATTATTATTAGTTTATCATCACAATCACATCTGAATAGGTGAAAAGTTATGTTTGGGTTGTGGCTTTTCTTGTTTGACCTGAAGAACAGAGAGAGAGAGAGAGGAGTTTCAGTAGAAGAAGCAACTTGCTTTGTCTCTTAATTTCCACATGGATGGATGGCTACATGTTGTGAGATGTTAAATTAAAGTAGGGCCATCTGATTTCTGTGTGGTGGCACTTTTGGGATTCAATATTGGCTATAACAATGATTGAGTTATTGATTTTCACAGAATAGTTATTGTAGGCATTATTGTTAGTGTGGGTTTGTGTGTTACGGAGGCCAAATATAATCTCAAGAGGTTGAAGGAAGATGAAGGCAAAATCGAAAGACTCATTTGTTTTGGGAGTCCTTACTTGTAAGTAACACTTATATATATATGGTTTGCAAAAGTGAACATATCATGATTATTTACTTATTGATCACTTAATTACTCCTTAGGCTACGTCTAATGAAATCAAAAAAGAGACTGTTAAGTGTTAACACGGGCATTATATGCTATATATGCTTGTGTGATAAATACTAGTTTCTTGCACAGGACATGAGTGGTTGTTGCTTTTCTTCTTCTTGTTGTTTTTATATGTGCATGCACAACATTATCTCTATTCAATGTATAATTCTATAAGATGTATATCAATTATTTTAAAATCAAACATTGTTCATTTAATAGAGCCCTCGCTTTTGGTTTAATTTAAATCCATCAGTACTATGATGATCAGTTTTATTAGGATCAAATTAATTATATTCGAATTAATACTTAACCCCATATGTCAAAATTAATGATAATAGATTACCAAAGGAGGCTAATTTAAGTGAAGAAGACCTAGTTTCACTTAAGCATAATTATTTGAGTTTATGCGCAATATAGATGCATAAGAGAGCTCCTCTTGGTTTGATCTCACAGTAAAGCAGGTTTCAGTTTTTTTTCACATGAATGTCTGATTATGTTGTGTTCAAACATTGCCCACTTGAAAATTGTTCTTCTGTCTTTTTTTTTTTAATTCTCACAATAAAGGTTTGAGTTTAAACTAGTTGCGTGTTGAAGGATTTGGCAATAGATTCATGCCTTGGGGATGTTGAGTAGTCATTTACCAAAAAAAAATAAGTAACAAAAAAAAATTATGTATTTTAATACTACATTCTGTCATAAATATAAGAATTAGTTGATTAATTTGAATAGATTAAAGAAATAAATCAAATTAGTTATTTGTAACAAATAGGTGTTGTTTTTTTTAAAATATTTTTGCTAATCAAGTTTACTAGCTAGAACTATCATGATTAGAAGGACTATCTTAAGAAAAAATAGATAAATATGAGAAACAAAACGAATTGGGATTTTATATTTAGAATAAAAATAAAAATTAAATAAGATCCTATATTAAGAACTAGAGGTAGGTAGTATATAAGAATGAATAATTTTTTATATTATATATAGATATAAGGATAAAAAATTATAAATAGATATAGTAGTAGAGGTCAGATTTGGGGCTGAAGAGAGAGGAAAGAAGAATAAAGCGAGAGGGAAGTGTCCAATAGGAGAGAGGCTTTGCCCAAATCCCCTTATAGGATGTCAACTATTCAAACCTCTTCCCCACTGTCGACCTGTCGTCACCCCAACTACAGACAAATTACTCTAAAGACAAAAAGGATCCCCACCCCAAAAAAAATATTCTTTTCTTTTAATACGTAAATATTTTTAACTTCCACACACACACATACATATTCGATGTAATTTATTCAGAAAATGATGTATCTATTTTCCAACTTAATAGAGGGTTATTTACTGGTATGAATCAGTAGTTTAATATCTACATTTTATAGTTTTGACGAGTACCAGTACTACTCCTTCTAGTTGCTAACAAAGGAGCTTGTTTTGGTTCAAATATTGTTTAATAAATTTATAATTTTTTTAAAAATAATATTAAAGTGTTAGATGTAATTAAAAAATAACATAGCATCAAAAAAATAACATTAAAATACCGGATACTCCTTTATCCTTCTTCTTTTTCAAAACAATCTCACTAATTGTACAAATGATTAAATGGGTGTTTGGAAAAACTACCACATATTTATAACAAATAATTTTTTTATTAAAAATAACTAATTCAACTATTTTTTTAAATTTTTATAAATTAATTATGAAATTCATATATTTAGGAGAGGGGAAAGTCCTGCGTTAGTGTATATAGAACGGGAGTGATTAAATTATAATAAAAATGGTTGCAATTATGGAGTGAATCAGTTCGGTTCCCAAAACAAATGCAGCAGAAGTACTTGTCGGATCCTAATTTACCCGCTTTTCATTCTCCCACCACGCAGCATCTCACTGCCCTCACCAAATTTCATTCATGTCCACTCCCTTAACCTTAAGTGCTTCTGATACTTTCCCACCATTTTATTTTTTTCAAAAAGATCAAATCAAATTAAAAAGAGAAAAAAGAGAATCACATTCTGATTTTCAAAGAGCGGACAGGGAAGCTGGGGACCGTTCCATCCAATGCCAATTTAGCACATTATCTAATTTAACAAGACAATGCCCCGGCTTGCTTTACTGGTTCGGTATAATTAATTAATTGCCGTCATTAAGGATTTAATTATGATTAAGATCGTGGGAATCCCTTCTTAAGCTTCATTATGTACATCTGTTATATCCCAAAAAAAAAATATTATTATTATGAATTTGATTGCTGGTTTAAGTGCCAGAAAAGCAACGGACACTGTATCGTCGTCTGTAATAATTAATCACACAGCATAAATGTTAATTACATTGAATTCTCAGAAAGGGAAAAGGTAATATATCATCGACCTCAGGATGCGGGAAACATACACGATAATATAATTAGAACACAACTCATGACTTAGTGGATTGGCTTTGTAATAGGCTGTTGAAAGTCGAGAGATTATTTTTTTTTAAAAAAAATATTAATTGTTGTTTTTAATTTCTTGGTTGGAGTTCTGAATTTGATGATTTGATGGTGAAATGTGTAAACGTGTGATGCAGATATTTTCGAGAGGGGGAAGAAAGTGAGAGATACCAAGGCCACCCAGTGAGTGGAAAATGAGTAAGCATTGAAGAATAATGACTAGGAATACCAATTATTTGGCTTTATTTCTATTATACCTTGACCAACGAATAAATCATATTTCATCATATATATTCTAAAGTTAGTTAATTAAGCCACAATTCTCTTAGATTTGGATCCTCTCATATTATGTAATTGTTTGATCAGTTTAAAGTAAGTGTTTTGGTGATTTACAGGACAATATAATTTTTCTTGTATATTTACTTTATATAACACAAAATTACTTATTCACAGCTAACTCAAAGATATCTAATTAAGAGTATGAGATTATACAAGTACGCACCATCGGATTTTCTTTTTTTTAAAACTGATACAAGAATTACCGGATTAAATGGTTCTTTAAAAGGAAAAACAAAAAGAGTGAGAGAAAAAGATAAGAATTGAATTCCCAATGATAAAACAATAATACTACCTCTGGTTCTAACTATAAGAGCTAGTTAACTAATTTAAAGAGATTAAGGAAAGAAGTTAAGTTAGTTATTTGTCATAAATAAGTGTTGTCTTTCCTATAATATCTTTGTTAATCAAGTGTATTGGCTAGAACTATTATTGTTAGAAGGACCATTTTGAAAAAAAATACATAAATATTAGAGACAAAATGGATTGGGGTCTTATATTTAGGACCAAAATAAAAGTCAAACAAGATCCTATATTAAGGACGGAAGGTAGTAGTATTAATTAGAAAACTGTGGTTGTTGTTGTTGTGTATATATGGCATAGTCTGTCTTCAGTCTTGTGTGCTCTCTTAATTTATCCGACCTGCAGAATAAATTATGCCCAAACTAAATTCTCAGTATAATTGTCAAAAAGTTAATTATTTTCACGCTTATAATACTCATCTAATCTATGAATTTGATTAACAAAAACTAATAATTAAGCTGGATACCCATTAGTTGATGGATTCTTACTTTAATTTAATTACCTTTTTTATTTTGATAATTTAGAATTCGCAATAACCAGATGATGATAACATGTCCAGAAACAGCTGACACACACACATATATCCGAAAACCTAATTAATTAGCAGATTCGTGCCAATCTAATAGATACAGGCATATGCATATATATAATACGAAAAATAATTAAAATAATTTGAGGGATGCTACAACTTTAACAAACCTCTCATCAGTAATTTATTTTTATCATCGTTCTGTCATGAGCATGCATGCATGCATTCACTAGTTTCCACACCATATGTACACGTGCGCAGTTTCCATTGGCTATCACACATCTGTTAAAAACTAAGGGCACATTATTATAATAATTATCTTCATTATCCACAATAAATAAAACGAGTGACTTCGAGCCCTAAAAAAAAACATTAGTATATATAGGAAGAGAGATGATTGGCCGGCTGGCTTGACTGAGTATTTTTAAAGGGTGGGGGGGGGGGTGGCGGAGTGATTAACTCAGTGGTTCATTAACGAGCACCTTTTCCAAATATCACTCATATTATAATTTACAAGGACAAGATTTTGAAGTCTAGTGTAGTATTTGTTTTTTTAATTCTATTTATAATTCATATAGTTGACATAAATGTACGATTTTACCTTATTTTATACACAAGGACAAAGTTAAAAATATGATAATATTCAATTCTAAATATAAGACCCATTTTACACTACAAAATGAGTATTATATTTAGGACCGG